AGTATTAAAATTTTATATCGACATAGATTTTCAGTTATTCCTTACACTTATCATTGATATAATACCAACATTTGATGCTTACATTTAATATGAGAGATTAGCAAAGCTCTTTATGTGGAACATAATAAGTAGACTAAAACGCACTCGTAACTATAAAACCTACGGTAACTTTAATACTTCAGACCATATTCCTGAACTGAAACTTACTTATTTTAATTGTATCTCTTCTGGAATACTATTTCTCAAATCGGCTCTTAAAGCGAAATTTGATGCCTAATTATATAATAAGCCCATCATTTAAAATATAAAAATTTGTTATGTAGATTGTAAGAATATATTGCTAAACATGTAGTTCTCAAAAAGCAAAAACCAAACGAAAAATAAAATACAAAACAAAACAAAACAAAAAATTGATTATCACACGTAAAATTTAGTTAATACACTTACATTAAGATCCATAAGTTTATAATCGATAAAATCATATGATTAAGCATTAATATTTGAATTGCATATTTGAATTTGCTCCATTCCATATTATTATGCATTTATCGAATTCTTCGTAGAAAAATCATTGAATATCATATAATGATTGAATTCTCATCTGTATTATAGAAGAGAGGAATGTTCTCACGGCTATGTATACAGGTGTCTCAGTTTCTGTGGGCGGCACATACACATGTACTTGCTTGCATTCACATATGCCAGATAAAAGATAGAATTGCGTGATAGACTTGTATATATGTATAATGTTAGGCTAGCGCAGTCGCATGCGGCAAGAGAGTAGAGATGCAAGTTGGCTTTAATATTAGTTAAATTACATTATTCTATACGATGGAATTAAATAAACTTTTTAATTTTATTAGTTAGTGGCTAAGTTCGTCTACTAAAAATAATTGTTTGAAATTGAGATTATTTTAATTCTATCATAACCATACATTCTTACCGTTTTTTTTTTCTAAAATAATCAAATCATTTCTTTCATATTCATTACATGTATGTGATTCATAGAATTTAGCTTATTACATTATTTTACTTCATACTCTATCTATGAAAAATTTTAAGTAGAATGAAAATAATACAATTTCAATATTATGTAATTTTATATTCTATAAATCGTTTGTCAATAATTAATTTTAATCAACACATATTAAAATATTATGATATTTTTAAATATTCTATTTTAATTAAGCCCGATAAAAGTATTATACAATCTGTATAGTGTGTGAATTAAATTTTTTTTTCAAAAAAATTAGACATTCAAACGTATTTTTAAATGAAACGCTAATTCTCTTCATTTTTCGTTTTTTTCTTCTTTTTTTTTCTTCATATCTCTATTTTCATTATTACATACAACAGGATCGTTATAAAAAAAATACTAGAAAAAAGGTCAATGAAACTTATGTAATTACTCATGAAAAAGCATTTCATTCGGATGACATTTAATACCTTTAGTTTCTAATGTCATTGACAACGCGCGTATGTAAATTTCTTCAGTTATTTAAACTATTTAATTATGAATATAAATACATAAATGTCCAGTTATAAGTATAATATCCATTATAATCACTGTTTGTCTATTTTTAAATAGAATATAAAGAGTTTTCCTAAATTATTTCCCATTTTTCTTCTTACTTTTCAATGCGTATTTTAAAAATTTTATTATTGTCTTTATGTTTTGTACTTATTTGTATATGTATATATATATATATATATATATATATATATATTATCATATGTCAAAATCATTCGTGAAAATATTTTTAAAATTAACATTAGTTTGAATTTTCTTATGAAATTATGCGCTAATTGATATTACTACTACATTATCATTACGAAATCTAACATCAAATAAATAGTTTTGTTTGTATTATAAACACATGCTATTGATAAATAAAAATACACCGTTACAATATTTATAATAATCATAAAAGTTATCAATATTTAATAATATTTAAGTATATCAATTTACAAGATATACATTTATAAAGATTAATTCGCGTCAATTTTTTTTTTTTTTTTTTTTTTTTTGAATTTCTATTATTAATTCTTATAGTTTGATACATTTAATTTTACATTGTAACTAAAGATTTTTATTAAAATTATTTGTAATAAAACTTTTAAGGTAAAATTTACATAAAAAACTGGCTTCGGAATAATTTTTTTTTTTTATTGTAAACGTTAATTAGCCTTTTTCGTTTTAAATAAGAAATAATTTTTGAATAAATTTAAATACGACTTATCTATTAAGATTTATGTAAATAAAATAAATAAATATGCTTTTTTTTTAATACATCTTTAAGATTTACATTTTTTTATGAAATTTCAGCATGAATTAAAAATATATTATTATGTTACCTTATTACTGAATAAATATTCTTATTTGTTAAATTTATGTTTTAAAAATAACAAAATTAAAGTCTAAGTGTAATTAAACTTTACTGATAATGGCTTTGTAAATGTTAAATGAAATTATGTTCACATATAAAATAAGTTAATTAATTTGTGTGTTTTCATCAAAGGAATGTACTCTTTTTATGTAAAGTGATGAAAAGAAGCACATAAGTGGCCATAGTTTTTTTTTTCTCGAATTTTATTTAAAATATTTCAAAAAATTTAAGGACGTGTACACGTTCTTACTTTAAATTTATTTCTTTTGAACTGTTCTTACAGTTAATACTTGTTTGCTTTGATTTTCTATGTAATACAAGCAAATATTCCCATCCAGCATATTTCATTTCATTTTTCGCCCCGACCCTTCATTATCTAAAATCAATCCACTACACTTTCACGATACATTTGCATGTATCATGATACTCAAACGAATGCAAAAACAGTCACGAATTCAGCTTCGGATTATATAATAGCAACGACAGTCATGGGATAGGTCGAATTTTTTTTCAGCGACACTCATTCTTGTCTTTAATAAATGGCTTTCTACCGCGCTTAAACTATCAGAGAATAATAACTTTCGTCTATTAAAAACTTAGCTTTCAAATCCTAAATTTTTATATAATTAATCTTAATTCTATTTATTCTGAATTTCACGAGAGTTATGTTTTGAGTACGAGTTACTTTATTCTAAATAATTATATTTTTTAAAATACCATTAGTTATTTATAAAAATTAACCAAGTGCCCTTAATTAGGTCGATAATTTGTGTCCATTAAGCGACATTAATGCAACAATAATTTTCAAGTTAAATGCGCAGGAGCACATATGTATTCGTTTTCGTAACAATATTTTTGATGTTAATTATCTGAAATAACAAAGTACTTTTACGGCAAATTTTATTATTAAATATTTATAAAGAGACTCTTCTTATTTAAATGAATGAAATAGATTATATAGCTTGAAAGTAAAAGCTTTTATAAGTAAAGGGATTTATGTCAGTAAGGTGGGATTATATAGTTATCACATAAATTTTAAATTAAACAAGAATTGATGTTATCATTCGATAAAGTCGGTATTGGATAGAGAACTCTGAACGAACTTTTAAATTCAGAATTGATTTAATTTAACGGTATACGCATCCTCGAGTGGGAGTTACAAAGTAAATCTTTGCTGCGTTTTTTCACGCATCAAAGTAGAGGGCGACGATGTTATTTAACCGCCCAGCGCTCGTATAGGACGACGTGATTATGCTATATGGGCATTTTCGAAGAAGGGGCTACTCGAATAATGTCAAATAATAAGGTACATAATGAGAGGAGAGGGTCCATTTTATTAAATGCAGAGCTAGAATAACATTTTAATGCTAAATTTACTTAACTCAGAATTTACTAATAATTGGCCCAGCGCGATACTTCCTATATAGAAGGTTTATGTCTAACTAAAACAATTTCAAACAATAAGCTCTAACATTATTAGGGACAGATACTTTTGCAGTGCATTAATATCGAGTATTATTAGAAACATCTTTATCCCTGTGACGTGTCTTATCATCCATAGTTTGGCAGCAGCTTGAGGTTTGCGTGGAAGTAAATAAGTAGCCCCGAGTGCTTTCGATTTGGCCCAAGATACGTTGTTTCATCAATCTTTTATAATTCTTTCAACCTTGAGCAATCGGTAACTCATACTATTACGTTGTATAAAGATGTTACGGCTGTTTAGGTCATTCCACTTTTGCGATAAAATAGATTGGGCAGAGCTGAATTTTTTAAATATCAGCATATTCGATTTAGTTGATAAAACGTCCCCTTATTTTCGAAGCTCTTGCGTTCCCAGTACACCTACCCTTCAGATAACACTCTGTGCTATTTTTATCTCATCTGCGCTCCCATGGATTACGGTGCCCCGTGATGCTCCTTATATGTCCGGTTACAAAGAGCGCGTCAACATCCATCCATTATTTCCAAATATTGAGTAGCGTTTTGTTGTGCGGTAAAGTGGTATGATTTAAGCGCAGCAGCTCATTAATAATTATTCCAAATGCAATATCTCACACGATGAAAAGCTAAATATTTGCAATATATTGTATTTAATGACTTATTAAAAATAAATTGTTGCTCTGAATTATATTATATAGTTATTTTTATTGCTTATAATATTTTCGTTTTATCAATCACCAGTAGGTAGTTGGCTGTAATAAAATTCATCATGAAAGTAACCAAACTTTTTTCATCTATATTATTTTCCAATATGTAATAAATATTAATATTTTACAATTACTTATCCAATTAAACTTGAAACATAAATAAAAAAAAATTTTTTTGGTATACATAAAATTTTTAAGAATATTATTAAGAATATTCCCTTTTGTCTAAAGTAGTGTTGTAATAGAGGCCTGAAAATTGAAAATTTTACCAATGACGATAGCCTATTTATAAATTTATTTGTGTTAGTAGTAGCGTATATGGTATAATTATAAAATTATATATTTTGTTAAATACGGTATATACTATTTGTGACAACTTTTTTTTTATTTATATTATCCTTAAGTATTGATCGTTGGCAATTGATTAAATGTTATTTATCAATGTTTTTCAATTTATTTATTTTAGCGGGTACAACGACAGAAAGAGGATATTTTGGACCATGGAGGCAATGCAAATATCTGCTCTATGGACGAGAAAGGTGTGGTCAAGGTGTAACGAGACTCAAACCAATTTGTAAGTATCATCTGCCATATTCTGGAATGAATAATTCAATTAATAATTAATAATTCCTGTTTTTTGTTGCATTTGTACTCGATATACAATAGCCTTGTTGACGTATTTTAAAATTCAAATGGTTTAATATTGCTTACATTAATAATATTATTCTTATATATATATATATATATATATATATATGTACTTCATTAATATATTCATTTATCAATATTGTTTAGTCATTGAATATATCATAAGCTGATATAAGTAAAAAGTTATTAATATACATTTAGTTTTATGTTACTTTCTATATAATATCGTATTTTAAAAATTTCCAACTACAATTTATTCTCAAGTGATAATAATATGCTCTTTGAACCACTTTATGCATTTTCTAAAAAAAAAAAAAAAACAAAAACAAAAAAAAAACAAAAAAAAAATGCAAAAAATAACATTGTATTTATGATGATTCAATATTACATTGAATTGTATATTGGAATTGAATTTTTTGTATAAATTTTTATATTAGACTTTAAATTTATCCTTCTGATTTATTTGAATTCGACACTGAAAATCATTGCATAATACAATTTAATATCTTAAAGTATACACGAGGCTTAAAAATATTTTTGTTTAAAATAATACTTTATCAATAAAGAATAAATGACAATAGACGCACTCATGAATTCGATATTTGATTAACGAATGAAATAAAGTAATTTGCACATGGATATGTATAATATAGATTATTTAACTTTTCATTCAAGATTTGTATACACGCTTCTTCTATCGCTATTATTTTATTAATTTCAAATAATGTTTTTGGTCTATTGATTTTAGGGACCGTTTGGGTATCAGGAGTTGCTGCTGCATGTGCATCCGTCCTATTGGCTGTAATTGTTGGTTTAACCATACTCCAATTAGCGATGGCTTCTTCGGCAAAGCGCGTCGTCATTTCTTACAGTACGGCAGTCATCGGGAAAGTTGCATTGGCTACCTTAACCAGTAAGTATATACCCGTATATTATGGTTTTTTCATTGGTTAATCCATTCGTGAATAAATGCTTGATATCATTAATATCAAGCTCGATCGATGTTTTTAGATTATTATTATTATTATTTAATCTTTTAACTTTTACTTCTATTAGTAATTCTACGCACTAATAAGGATTTGTCTGCTATTTGAAAATGAAAAAATTAATTCTTCGATTGACATATGTATTTTTAATAGCTAGAATATAGTTTCATTAAAATCATTAGAAAAATATTAATGTTCGTTAAGTTTTTATTCGTATATCTATATATATTCGAGGCAGTATATTTACAAGTAGTCCTGTGACATTCAAATTTAATTAAACAAATAAAAAGATCATATTGTACTGGAACATTTTCATGAATATTATAAATTAATATTCAGTAAGTAGTAATTTATAATTACAATCTGGTGGTATTCATACGTTATTTATTATTTTACGTTGTTTGCCATTGTTGAATAATAGCATATAAATCATTTATTGATAGTATATTATGAAAATGGCAAATTGTATAATGGTGGAAACGAAGTATAAAATGCGGGTGGTTGATTTTGCTTGATATTATAATACATTTGAGAATTGGAACGACCATTGAACTGCGACTTTTTATTAAACTTGATGAGGAAGGTGTGTTCATCGCTAACTTCTGGCAACAATAGTAGTATTTTCATCGATAGTCGAAACCATATTGTGGATATTGTTCAATGAAGCGATCGTATCCTGTCTTTTTAAAGGTCTGCAATGTAACGCTTTTGTAATTATAGTAAATTTTATTTTTATTTATAGTAATTAGTAAAAAAAAAAATATATATATATATATATAAATTGAATGTGTAAAGATTAAATTTTAACAAATTGCTATTAATAAAAGAAAACATTTACTAATACGCTTATTTTTATTATAAGAGTAAATAAAACTCGCTTTATCTATAATATATTGAATATATCGTGTAATGTATATATATATATATACACACACACACACACACAAATACTGAAATTTTTCAACATATATTTATTATATCGGAAAGCATTAATTTTGATTTTTTTTATTTAAGATATTTGATCCCTTAAAATTTATCTTTTATTAAACTTATATTTTAAGATTATTATGATTATATTCTGATAGAATAGTTTGAAGTAATTTAAGTAATAAGACTGTAAATTCATTATTAGTCGTATTAAAGAAAAATTTTTGAGTTGAAATCAGGTAAACAATGACAATCCTGATCAAATGTTCGAATCAGTATTTCTTATATTACTATTCACAGTCATATTTGACCTAAATTTATATCGAAATAGCTATAAAAATATCTTCTATGATTTATGAATTTATAAAATTACAGTACTGATGTATATGAAGTAACACGAATAAGGTATTTCAATTTATTGATATTTGATGTAAAAAATAGAGACTATCTTTTGCTTGTAAAAAGAAAATTCAATATCTTATTTTCGTATTTTAATAATTTATATTTTTAATTTGATATAGAATTTACATAAAAACTATAATATAAAGTGAACCCTTCTTAATGCAACAATATGATTAGTAAATATTTATATATGATTTCTATATATATATGATTCGTATTACATAAAATTTACCAAATGGATACATATATTCATTGTCTAATATTTAATAAATTTCTTATACAAGTTCAAAAATAAATATTTTATCAAATTAACATTAAAATCGTATTAATAAAAATGAATTGTTTTTAAAATTATATTTAGTGGAGTATTTTACAATTCCAATACAAGTATTATTCTTACTTAAAAATTTCTCTAATATTTCAAAATAAATTTGTTTTGTTTTTTTTTTTGTTTTTTATTTTGTTCAGAAATACAAACCTCGATATAATGTTAGAGAAAAGAAAATTATAAATTTATGTGTATATATAAATAATTATTAGACTTATTTTCAATTGTAATGTTGTCCTAGTACAAGATTATACAGGGGTCATTTTAATTTGTTTGGTCGATGAGTTGGATGATTATTTAAATTCCCCAGTAGCGAATTAAGTTATTTAGTAGGCAGGAATTATAGGAATTGCTCGATTTTTCCCGAAGATGTATATCTAACTATACTGATTCTAGTTTTTGTTAATCACATTACGGTTCTATTGTCTAATATCTTTATTTAGGAATAACAAGTCATACTTAATAATTTTCATTATGGTAATAACATACATATTTATGGCTGTGTAATTTTTAAAATAGAAAAATTATTGGGCAAAGCCAATTGTAATGTGCAAATTTTCATGTTATTTTAATTATTTATATATATATATATATATATATATATATATATATGTATATACCTAATTTAGATTTTTTATATCAAATAAATTAAGATATCGAAACTATAAAAAATACTGTTTCTTTCCAAAAAAGGATAAATACATTTTTTTTAATGGCTGTCAAATAGATTTGAAATTTGTTTCATTTATGAAATAAGGTAAACGGAATATAGAACAAAACAGATACAAAAGCATGGAAATAATAATTGTTCTTATATATTAGTTATGATAATGTTTCGTTAATATTTGCTTTTGAAATTTTTTTAGAAAGAAACTTTCTTCGAAACATTATAAGTCTTTATTTTGCACCTGCATTTTCTATAATCTTATTTTTCATCATTTGCACAACAAGAGTACGCTGTGAGTGAAGAATAATTCAAAACAAAAACACAATATGCGCGCATAGTTTCATTAACTTTACGTATTCTCTGTAAAGGAGTCAATGAATTGTATATGTCACGTTACAACTGAGATAGGAAAAAAAGCGAGAAAATAATGTATATATTCATATCTACGTAACAATACCGCGTTGTACACGTGTGCTTATGAGTATGAGGGGCCTACTAAGTTAAATGTAATTCCAGACTCTACTAGGTCATATTCATTATTTTAGATCATCAAGAAAGAATTTAAAGCCTGTTTTTAATTTCTGCTCTCATAAAGTCTTATTTTTTAATTTTATGACTTCTATATTGGATTAATAGCATATGTATATACTTAATATTCTCAACTTGTAAGAATATTATCGATGATAGCTAGAAATAGAAGCTTATCAAGCTCTTTTATACAAATTTTATATTTAGTTTATGTCTATCAAAGTTTTTAATTGCATAATAACTTTATAATGTAAAATTAAATATTTATTCAATTACTTTTCATATTAAGTTTTTCAATAATCCGTAGCAATATTGCTTTGATATATTGAAACTTTATGGAAAAGATTATAATGCAGAAAATACATTCTACAATTATATAATAAATATTTCAATTTATTTTATATTTATTTTATATTTATCATATAGAATCTACAATAAAGTATTACACTTTTTAATAATTCATTATAGAAAGTGAGCTATTATTTAATTTATTAATAAATTGAAAATAGCATCTTTGATATTATTTGTCATTCAATTAAATTTTTGACTTATATCTATTAAATCTGTATAAAAGCTTTATCTGATTTGTTTATTTAAACATTTTTTGTATTAATCAATATAATATATTTTTATACCATTAAATAAATTAACGAAATAAAGATATCGAATGTTAATAAATTAAATAAAGTTTTGTATTTGAAAATAACAAATATGTTTGTTAAACATAATATTATAAAAGTATTAGCAATGCACTATAATTTTTTCTTTAAACACATTAAAAATATTATATTTTATATAATGACGTATATATATATATATATATATATATATATAGATACATGGTTTTAAAATAATGAATAAATGTTTTTTGTTTTTAGCTTGTTTGGCTGTGGTGGCAGCGAGTCTCTTTGCGATGCAAACAGACGATCGAGATAATAGTTTCATCGTTACAAGAGGCGAGGGCTTTTACATGCAAGTAAGTATGAATATATTATTAATTTTATATTTATTAAAAATGTATGTAAATATTTCAATAAGAGCATTAAAAATTTTCAAATTCTTATATACTCGAGTACCTGAATATTACCTTCGATAAATAGGAAATTTTAAACATCTAAAAATTTGTATAACATTACATTATATTGCAAATAATTAAATTAGATTTAGGGAGAAAATTAACTTTATGTAACATCCGAGTGTGCGTGCGTGTGTAAACATTTAAGTACATACATACATATATATATATATATACTATTTCAACATTTTCAAAATTGATACGCAAATTATGAATATTTTATATAAATATTTATTTTTAAAAACGTGTGATGATATGGTACTTATAAATGTTATATTATCGGGAACATATAACTATAATGTATTATTACACGTTATTCTAAATAAAAAAAAAGTATAATGTTCTTTTCTCGGAAATTTCATTAATATTATTAATTATTATTATATATTTTTGAACTGTTCGATTTCAAAAATCAAAATCATACATTCGAAAAAATTTATTATTTTGTATGCTTATTATACATTGTTTGATGTATTGAAGTATTAGTTTTATATGGGAATTATTCAAGGTAATATCTGTGAGGGAGAAATTTATATCTAAACTTTAAATATATTTTATTTTTATTACATTTTTAGGCAACTATATTCGATCATATAGAATTAATAAGCATTGAATTTATTAATAGATTTTAATTTTAATTTATTAATTGATAATTTACATTTAAATCCGATGTAATAATTATAGTGATTTTAACGATATTTCTTGCAATTATATTCAAAGTTAAATAAAGTTAATATTAGTTTAATATTAGTAATAAATTCAACATATTATTATTAATAAAATTATAAATCATTAGTTTTGTTAGCTTAACGATTATTAATAGTGTATTCTGATACTTTTAACATTTTTCATTCAGTAGAAGATTGGATGCTGTAAGAAATTAGGTTAAAATTTAAGTCTTAGAAACTATTATGTTAATTCAATGATTATCATTGATTGTAAAACATTCTTTTGTATTTTAATCGTCTCTTAAGTAACTTACGTAAGTCAATTTACTGTCTTCATTGATAGTTTCATCAATACCTATAGATTCTCATAAGTAATTATAAGACATTTAACAGTTAATTAAAAATATTAATATATTGTTTTAGGTAATAATAAATTATATTATGCTAGTACAGAAAATTAATATAAATAATACGCTTATTGATTTAAGTAAATGTGTATAATTCAAGTTATTGTCAAATTATGTAATAATATTTTATTATCTAATATACAATCTATTAATATCAATTGTATAAGAAAATATTTTCAATCTTAGCTACAAAGTATGAAAACAAATATTTTGTTTATCTATAAAATAATGATAAATAATAGTTAAGTTGTATTATTAGTTCTGTAATTCTTAATAGAAATTCTCGACATACTGTAGGCGATTTTAAAGCTATTAAATTCTTTATATTTAGTAAAAACATTGTTTCGTCCAAACAACAAATTAACTTTACTGTTTGAATAATTTTACTCGGTAGTCTATGCAAAAAAAGCATTTGCGAGAAGCTGTTTCTCAAATTAAATATATTAATTTTATTTAATAATAAGTCATGATTAATTTATCATTCGCATAGATTAAAAATCCCAGCGTTATTGTCCAGAAAAATATATTGTTGAAAAAAATACTGCACTAAGAGAAGGTAATCAACTCATTGGATTTCCCGCTTCGATTATACGATCGATTGCACATGTTTGCGAATACACCGGAAGTAAATAATACAGTGGAAAAGGAAAAGCTCGCATGCACCAATCTAGAATAGAGGTCGGGCGAGTATTTTTTGCGTGGGGCCTCATTATACATCTGTACTTGGTTCAATGTTCGTCAGTTACGAGATTTAATGTTCAAAGTTTAAAAAAACAAGTGTCTTTACGAGTACTCGATAGTGCAACTCTGACATTCTAAGCATATATTTCGATTATCACGGATTTGCGTACATTTCATCTATAATGTTCTTAATTTTCTCAATAATTTCTTAGTAGATAAATGTGTTTTTCAATATTATAGTGTATTGATTTATTTTGTGCATTATAGTTTATTGTATTTTCGGCTTTTGGTGAAAACTTGGTGATCAAGTAGAGCTTATTTTTAAGAATTAAATATTTACTTTTGTAAAATTTATAGTCAAAGCTTTAGCTTACATTATCAATTTAAGGATTTTATATTAAAATTTGTAACTTAAAGAGCATTATATTTGATGCAGAAAATTTTAATAATAAACCGTATATGAAAAAAAACAAAATTTCTTTTCAAAATATACGAATGTAGAGGGTTGGTAAGTTGAAAAATCAGACAAATAATATGTCGTTTTATTACAGTTTAATTATTAAAGAATATATTTGCTTTTTGTAAAGAAATATTGTAAACTTAAATGTATCTTTTCCATATAAAATTCTGTATACATATTACATAATCGATAAATATTTACTGTATATTCCATTTTTAACATAAAATCAGAAATAAATTTTTTGCGGTATATAACAAGGTCAGAAGAAAAAAAAAATAATAAAAAAAAATTTTTTTATTTATATTTCTTTTCCAATATTATTCAGTATATTAATTGTTTTTCTTAAATTCTTAATTATTACATAAAAATTTTATTTGTATTCAATGTCAAAATATAGATACGTGTAATTCCTACACATTAATTCAATGAATCGGGAATATTTCCTTGTTTAATTTTCGAAAAAACCTTTATTAAATTAATAAAAAAACTAATTCGATCGATGTGATACTTGTCACTGATATTTAATTATTTAAAATACTGCCTGTCACAAAAATCCTACCAATTAAAGTATTTCATTACAATTTATTAAAGCAATTCTATTATTTGCACGCTGTTTCGTTTTTTTTTCTCTTTATAATTATTTAATGATTGTTTGATAAAAATACATTAATTTATTATTTGTTATTATGATTCATATACATTATATTATCAGTATTAAATATTGCATAACTTTAATTACCGGACGATTAGTAATTATGAGCACAGGGAAAAAAAATGCGTTACTTAGTGCCAAGGATGAGATAGAATTGGCTCGAAACCGAAAACAACGCAAACCTACTAAGGTACGACAATTCCAATTAAAAACTAAATTAAAAGGTATATCACGTCGTGTAACAAGACTATATTCGGATATATAATAAACATCAAAATCAAAATATTCATAAACCACGTATGCAATGAAATTTTTTTATAGTTATGAGAAAGCACATGAAAGCTTTTTTATATTTAACACAATTTCAATAAATAATATAATATGTTATTTAATCATGTATTTAATATATATGTTTAAGAAATTTATTAAACGATCGTATTTATACGATAATTTGTACGATGATGATTGTAAAGAAATCATTTTTATAAATATTTCAATTTATCTTTTTATGACATAATATTAATCTTATTTTATTGTTTCAAATATAAAATAGACGAAGAAGTCCTTATCCATTACTCGAATTAAGTATTATAAATAAATTTAGTTTAATATTATATGAATTCATTTGTTCATATGAGAATTAATGAAATGTACATTATTATTTCAAGATAGAAAAGTTAATTTGTTGTTTCTTTCGATTTATTGAAGATCAGGCAACATTCTATGACTGCTCATAAAAAAATTCAAGAAGGATTGAAAAATGAAATTAGTATTAGATTAAATTTTGCAAGTAAATTGTAAGAAATGGAATCCTTTTAAACATTTTAAAAGTCGTATTAGTTATATTAGTTGCGGAGAAAAATATTATAGGGCTTGTATACTAATAGTAATAATAGTAACTGGAACTATTAGAAAAGAAGCGATTAGTTAAATAAAGTTTTTTTTTTCAACTCTACCGAGCTTTCAAGAAAATTATTTTCAGAAAATTTCGCTTGTAATAAAATATTTTTCTTAATAAAAATGAAGAATTTATTATCGTTCGTCCAATTTTTTTTCCATGCAATATTGCAGACATGTGAGTGCATCAATATGAATAATTCTTTCATCATACAATTTTATCATTTGCCCATACTCAATACTACAAGTGTAATAAAAAGTGTAACAGCTGTTGCATATTCATTTTTCCTATGACACATTCAAAAATATTATATTCTCAGAGTCAATTTATATGCTGACAAATTGAATAAGAGAATGGAGACATAATATTTATTTAAAAATTATTAACACATTTTAATACGCGTGTATTACTTATGAATCTGGACTCTTTAATTTTTGGTGAATGTCTTGTCGATCGACAAACAGAAATTTCTTAAAAATGTTAATATCTTACTTAGCATTGCATACTCCCAAACATATGACCAATTAGTATTTATTTGATGTTTCATTAAAATATCCCGATATCTTGTCACAGCACTATTAATAATTATTCGCAATTTCCAGTAGATAATTCGCATCTCTGTAACCTTGATAATATGTCACTTTGCACGGTTCAAGTAGATCTTTAATAAGAGACTTGAATGTTTTGGATATTTGAATGTAATTATTTCTAATAATTCAAGCATATTCTATGCATAATATTTAGTAATAAGCAAAAAAATAGTTAAAAATAAATAAATAAAAATATACAATTTAACAATAATTCAGAATTAAGCTTTTCTAATTAATAGATTTTACAAAGAAGTTTTTCCTCAAATAATATATATATATATATATATGTTTTTTTTTTTATTTCATAAATTATTAACTTACATAATAATTAGTAATAAGATACGTATTTTTTTAGTCATTTACAATCCTTGTCAATGCGTTAGGTACAAAAAATATTCAGCGTAAAATTAAACGTATTCATTAAAATTAATTTGCGGATAAATAAATTTAACAGAGCTTAATGAATTGAACAAGGTTAAGTTTTATTTTAGAGATAAATAGTGTCCAAATACATTGATTGTCTCCAAAAATACATATGACAATATCTAAAAACTGAATACAAAAACTTCATTCAAAACAGTGGACTAAATAAAATGATAAATAAAAATAAATAAATAAATAACTCAATAACATAAGACGCTGCTGTACAAAAGTTTTTTTATATATTTCCTGTATTTCGCAACGAAAAAAGTTCAGTTTTATTATTTTTTTTTTTTTGACGTAGACATAGAACATAATTCTTCATGGATCTGTACAATAAACAATAACGATTTATCGCAAGTTATAAGAATCCCTCAACAAAGAAAATACAATATTTTACGTTACTTAATCTTTTTTTTTTTTTATACCTCTTGAATCATCTTTCCCTTTGCTCCGTTTTATTTTGAACTAAAGGGCTGCGAGTTTTAATAATATTATTTTATATAACATTATTCGTTAATTTAATAATATTACTTAACAAATTATATTAGCTTGAGTATTAAAAAGTATTAGCTGATTTGGAATAGAATAGGAATTTTTTTACCATTATGGTTTTTTTTATTTCGGTGCTGAGACTTTGGCTTTCTCAAATACGATCCTAATCTCAAAATCTATCACAAAATTATTCATTACTAAACATCGATTAGTTATGAATTCCTATTGAGCTTATTCACATTATATTTTATCTACTTTAAAGGCTCGGATGCGTTTTAATAAGACAATAAGGAGCACAATGAATTTATGGAAAATTTTAATCAACATATTTTAAGTCACAGGGATGATAAGCACAGTTAAGACGAAAGGCAAAGTACAATATTCACTTTTCTCAATTCTAGATAGCATCGATCGTGCTAAATTTTGGAGTTCTCGTCTCGGCGGTATATGAAGGCATTTATGCAAGGCGAGGTGGCGATCCAACAAAGCTGAGAGAGACATCCGATGCTCGTGGTACGACAATCAACAATCCTGGATATCGGGAATCTGGGCACCCAACCAATGGTAATTGACTTAAGCATGCGCGAAAAAACACGCCTACTTTACTTTCGTTCACCCCCCCCCCCATACACACACACATACACACACGCACACGCACACGCACACGCACGCACGCACGCACGCACATAGATCACACATCACACATCACACTATTTATCTATGTCTATCTATCTATCTTGCTCTTATGCTCTCTTTCTATCTAAATTCTTTAGGACTTAATAATAGATGAATGACGATATTATTTTGCCAAAAGTGTAATTTAATTGTTTAACTATTGATATAAATGGTATAAATGGTATTTTATTTTTATAATTATTCATCTCATTAGTTGTTAGAATCTTCATTATTTTAAAAAGTGAGTTGTATAAATGTATTACAATTCATTCTTTCTTATTCTTCAAACGTATTAACGTATATATCGGTATTGCTAGATAAATGTATAGAAAATTAAATTTTTATATATTATATATTATATATATGTTACATTAAATAATTCTTCTTTTAAAGAAAACTTACTTTCTGCATAATAGATCATTTGCCACTTATTATTTATTGTATTTTATTAATTTATTATTAATAATATATATATATATATATATATTAAGTTATTTAATTTTTTTTTTTTTTATGAAGAAGAAATAAAAAAAATTGCAATAGCAAAAGTTATGTTAACCGAGGACGTTTCCAAACTAATAAAACAAACTAAAGAAAATTTAAAGACTTAAGCGAAATGACGCTAACTTTAAAAATTAACACGAAAAATGAACACGAATATATAATAATACGTATTCTTCGTTTAATGCACTGGCTCAGTAAAGTTTATGAAAGAATTTTTTCACTATTTAATAAAAAATTTTGTAATTTATTGTAATAATTTTAATGATAATATTCAATATCAAAGTCTCAATTGATATAAAGAAAAAAATAGTGTTAACACTTTTAATATAAGTTACATAGTATTTCGGTAGAAATGCTTTTGTAATACATTAACACATTTAAAGTTTCGCTCGTGAACAATTTCATATCTAAGCCTATGCTATCATCATATTCTAAATGAATTTCTTTATTAAATAACTATTGTTTATAAAATTGAAATTTTATTATTTACAATAATTATTGAATTATTAAAATAGTCTGTTTATTCTATTAGTGATTAAAATAATATTTGACACAATATTAGCTTCATATAATTGAACTATGATAGTTCATGGTGAATATTTAATTGATATAATCATGAAAATCATACCTATTTTTAATTAAAGATAATTTGAATTTATTATGTTAGAAAACTTTAAAATATTTATGAAATCACATAAAATTTGTAATTTCTAAAATTTCTAAAAAATATTATTTTCTACTAAAAACTTTCTTTTTTAACACACCAACTATCTTCAACTTATTTAATCTTATGAGATTTTATTAATAACACCATATATAAAAGATGATGAAATGTAGGGTACGTAATTGGCTATTCCATTATTACGAATCATGTACAATCGGTAGTATTGAATTTACTATAGAAACTTCAATTTTGTTTAGAGATGTTTATCTAATGCAATACATTGCACTAAAATATCATTAAGTACTCCTTGCTTACCCCAGCAAATATGTTTTCGTGCGCCAATGCCTTCGATATTTAATTGCTTATATGTCATAGTTGATTTTCTCGTAGCGAGCATTTAACAACTTGTCGTATATGCGAAACCATACATGTCGACATACATCACGTATGTAGATAATTTTAACCAAAATTTTGTATGCATCATCGAACAAATGAAATTTACTATCCCTAATGAATAATGTCAGAATTAATTGTTTATTATGAGAAGATATATAGAACTGCAGTACTTGATTATCATTTATAATTAACAAATCATGCTTAGTAATTATAATTTTACTAAAATTTTAGGGTACAGCAAACAACGTTTTGAGATAAATATTTTACATATATCGATCATTTGTAAATAATTTCAAATGATAATATTAATCAGTATATACAAATTATAGTCTGTTCATTGACAATTAAATATTAAATGAAGGTTTACGTTACGATAAAAAATATTTCATTTTATGGCAAATAATCACTATTACATAGAATAATAGAACCTTATAAAACGAGTAAATAATGAAAAACTACATTGTGAATTTAAATAAATTGAGCAGTACATTGAAGCGATGAAGGTCATCATATCAATGTAAAACTAATTATAATACAAAATTAATTGATTTATTTGTAGTACAAATATTTGAGCTTTAGATACTAAATTTAATGGTGTAATACAATATTATACATAAAATTAGAGTTGTCCTTTTCTTTTATGGAAATATTATTTTCTAAATTTATAAATTTTTCTGATAAAATTATTTTGCCTTTTAATTGCTTATACAGCACATAGAAAATTTAATGATTTTTCATAAAAAAAACTTTATATCTTATTATTTGTTAAACAATGATGAAATATGTAAATACAGGATTTTAAATTGTGTATGGCACGAATTTTTAATTAAATTTATAGATAATCCGATATATGTTAATAAAAGTAAAATAATCATGGCTTTCAGTATAAGTTTATATATTGTAGTTGAATTTTTTTTCTAATACATTGGACCTATTGTTATGAAATATAAATACGATATACCTGAAATAAATTGGAGATTAATTTTTAATTGTCAATATTTTTGTTAAAAATATATTTTCAAATATAGGAAATTCACTTACACTAAATCTATTATTATGCACAAGTATTTTATATATTCTTTTTTGACCTCAGTAAAGTTTATTGCATAAATCTCATAAACTTACATTCGTCTACAGGGATGTTAAAAATGTGTAGTGTATGTCTTGTTCCAATTTTCTCTTTGCTTCTTACGAATGCGAATATTATTAAACGTCACCCGTATATGCGAGACCTTCTTGTGAGTCGTAAATTTACGCGCAAATTCAAGCTCAAGATTATATGTTTATTAACTGACTCTGTATGTTTATGAGTGCCTAAGAGCGCGCGCGTGTGCATACGTACGTAGGGCGCGTTTTATTTTCCCTTTAACAATGATATAAAAAGCAAAAAAATTCCATTTGCAAGTTAGCCAAGATCTATATGGGAGCTCAAAATTTTTTTATGATAGACACTGCAGTGATATTACTTCTTTAAGTTAACTACAATCTGCAAATCAAAAAATTTTTGTTTAAATTTCAAATTTTCTATATTAATTCCCTTAACAGTAAAATATCGTTCACATGTATATGATGAATAAAAGTAAAGAAAAAAAATTCTCATTTAATACCACAAGTTTATTATTATTAATAATGAAAATAATAGAGGTAAAAGTAAAAATTATTGCTTTAAAAATTAATATAACTTTGAAATCAAATATCCTAATATACACCTTAATGAGATGTACTTGATGAAAAAAAAAAAGAAAAAAAAAAAAAGAAAAGAAAATATTGTACTGTAAATTTGTAATCAAAGTATGTTTGCATTGTGATGAAATATAATTCCTTGAATCTTAGTGAAGATATATTCTATACATACATGTAAAATTAAATTTTTGATATTTACGTAAAGATATCAATTAATTCGATGTATCGTTATAAAAATAATAATCTTTTTAACAAAAATAAATTTACAATATAATTTAATAAATCTTAAAAGTAGTATAGTAAAATTGTAAATTAAAGAAATGCATAAAATGATTTTTCATTTCTTTATTATTATGTAGTGAAATTATATAATTGTTAATAATTATTTACTAATATGTCTTTATAATGTTCTGTAGCACTCTAACGAAGATTAATATTATTATAATTTTAATCTTTCGCTTTTTGCATAATTGTATCTAATTCGTCTTCATAGTCCTGGAATATTACAATACATAACCTTTGTACTAATGAATAGTATTACTGAAATTTTAATAACACATTGTTGATGTGAACATAAACCGTTGATTATATTAATATTATTTAATTTAAAAATTTTGACAAATATACAATTGATATTTTAAAATAAAATTCTAAAGTAGTTTGAACATTAAAAATCTAAAAATTTAACGAATAGTTAAGGTTATTATAATTTCAAAATGCGAAAATATTTATCTAATTAATGATACGAATTTAATTAAATAAATAAATAAATAGATCATAATTATAATATGAAAAATTAACTTGAGCTCGATAATCACTTGAAGACTGGAAGTAAATTTCAATAATTTATAATAATCGAGAAATGATTCAGTCACTACTAGATCTAAGCACCATGTTTATTTAATATGCAGTACAGAGATGGAAAGTATAAACGCTAATTACGTACATACTCGTATTAAAGTTTTGTTTTATTATACTTTTAGTGTTACGTCAGCTCAGATAATTCGTAGTTGATGTTAATTATTGACTGTCGCTATTTCCATTCCATATATTTCAATTTCAATTAAGTGTCATATATATATAAACACCTGTTTAGCGAACGAAAAACACTCGTTTACTCATTTCTCAATAGTCTTTACAAAAATATATGATAAAATCTTCTAATCCAAATACTTTCCTTTCATATTATTCAACGATCGGGAATCATAATGCGTTTGACGTATAAATGACTAGTCTAGGATTATCCTTATATTTTTTCCGATTTTCTCAATTCATTTTCCTTCCATATTATCTTTTTATTATAAATAATAAAAATTTATTATAAATTTATTTACAAATATTACGAAATTGCCAATTCCATTTTCCAAGAAAACAGTGCTGCGACTCGAATCTACACGTACTTTATTCAAAATGTACATTTTGATTTGATAATCTGTTTATATTAAAAATAATCAGATTATTGCCTGAAATAATTTATTTATAATAATATTATACTTCTCAATAATAGTATGTATAAGAATTAAAGGATTTTCTTTGTAAGCATATTACACATATGCTCGACTAAATCTTTTATAACTGGCACGGGACTGTGAAATTTTGTATTTCAGAAAAAGACAGTTCATTTTAACTGCTTTATCTAATGTTTATTAATTTTTACTAGATCGACGATTGCTTTTAAACTCATTAACTACGTTACTTGCAGGTGGCAGCATTTCGATGACTGACGCTAGTGGCAAACCATATGCAAGAGGAACTGCGGGCAACGGCTCAATGGCCAGCGTCGCGACTTCCGGAAGCGCCGTGAGTACGGCCTCGCCTCTGCGCAGCTCTCTGAAAAAGCCGAAACCTCTGGGTATTCAGAATCCCGGCTTTTCCACGCACAGCCCTACGCTTCAGCGCAATGGCTCGCAGAAGAAAGTTCGAATACAAACGCACTCAACGGAGGTGTGAGTTGCCGAACGAAATGAATAAAGCATTGATAAGCCATAAGATTCACAAGAGACTAATCTCGACATTTGGAGTCGGAAGTGTAGAGGAACTTACGGAGTGACGTATTTTTTATCGAAGCCGAGGGGAATTATTTTTGATTAATCGCTTGATTAACGAACGTTTACCTATTCTCGTAGGAAAAGATATTGGGTCTTTGAATTTTATTAACAAATTCACTCGATCATGGATTTTCCTTCGGATTTTAAATAATAAGAAGAACGGCTTATCTCGAATTTGAAAGTTTTTATCAAAACTATCAAACAAGATGCAATATTTAATTGTATTTTTCAATAAAAATTGTAATCGGTCGGTACTATCCTTTACAAATTCTTAACTATAATGTATATTAATTTTGACAATTATTTTTTAGAATTAGAAAAAAAGAAGGCTGCTAAGGATTAAATGACTCACAGAGTTAGATAAAAAAAATTTCTTAGTTACTGAATCGACATTACGATTATGAAATTGACAATTTTAACGTTTGAAATAGCAATTGAAAATTGATAGGAACAATATATCGAAAGGAGTATATTAGTCTATATTTTCATGATATAGCTTAACAAATCAGAATTTCTCATTCTTGTGTATAATTTTCAGCAAAGAGAATTATCTAATTTGGTGAAAAAAATATTCAGGCATTTTTGTTTTTTGCTTTGTTTTAAATTGCAATTTAATGCATTGACGTTGATTCATTATATTTTTTTACTTTATAATTTAACATTTCGTTGTCTTGTTGATTTATCTTGATGATTATTCTTTAACTTGATTACATGAAAGTTTGATACAGAATTATATTTTTGTATCGACAAGCCTCTACGTACATCTACGTTAAATTTAGTTTTTTTTTTTTTTTTTTATTAAAAGTACTTAAATTCTTCACATTACTAATTATTGAATAGTAGTAGTTAGGCATCGGACCAATGTCAAATCCACTAAATCGAAATTCCGTTCACTCAAATAAAAATGTTACCCACACGACTAAATATAACAAATATATTATTCAATTCTTTACAATTTAATTATTTTACATATAAATTTCTAATATAAAAGTTTTATAAAATATATATTAAAAACTATAACAAATAAAAGGAAAACTCTTTTTTTTTCACTTATATTTCATTATTACAAAAATTAAAATCAAAATTACAAAGTATTATATATAGATAATAATAATGCATATCTAGTTATTTTATATTTAATATATACAACATGAGTATGTTTAGTAATTTCAAATAATTTATTTTCTTTATTTACTATATTTTATGTTATTTTAAAAATTAATTTTCAGAAGATAACGAATATTAAAATAATTTTACGAATGTAATAAATATAACGTGTCCATATTAATCTACATTCTTTTAATACCATTGTTATAAAAATTATTTAATAATTAAATTATTAATAAACATATCAATTCATTGATAATAAATTTAGAAATAATAAATTAATAATTTATTAATAAATTATAAATTTATTCAGCTATATCGAAATAATTTTTACGTATATTAAAAATTAAATACCGCCTATTCAAATTTTTAAACTAAAAAAATGCACTGATACTATCGCTTATTAATAATAATACAGGAATTGCATTTTAACTAAATAACTATTGGGAAAAATATAAGAAGATCTTCACCTAAAAAGGCGAGAATAATTTTTTTCATACATACACTGTCCGACTACCCTAATATATTAAAAAAAAAAAAAATTTTTTTCAGATATCTTTATATGACGTAACTTTATATACCTTCTAATTGTACTAAATTTACAAAAATAAAAATTTAGTTCAAATATAATCAAGTATATGGACTGTATCATTCATTGTTAGTAAATTCTTAAATTCTTAAATGTTGATCGGCTTACAGCAAAGGTCTGTTAATTATTTGCTTGAGTTGAATTAAGTATTTTTAGATTAATTATTATAATTGAAAAAATATGAGAATATCAATTAATACCATGAAAAATATCTGTGTATTATTAGTAAAATACGCATACAAATTTGTTTATTTGATTATACAGATAAAAATGTTTAAAATTCTATCTTAGCGAGCTAACAGTTTTGTATCAAACTATAAATATAAAATAATTATTATGTATGTGATAATACTTTATATTATTTTTTTTATATTTTTGAAATTATTATATTAAAGATTATTATAAATAAATGTTGCTCGATTTATTATTATATTTTCGATTAAATGTATATTTAATATATACATATATATATATATATATATATATATACATATGTATGTTGAGGTTAATTAATACAATTAAAAAGTTCTCTTCGATGATAGAAAATCTTAAAAATTATTATTTTATTGTAATATTACAATAATAATAAAAATTATAGTTATCATTATTCCTCTTATTAATAATATTACAAACATTCTTTTTGAATAGAATGAAATGTAAGAAATTCACATACTGATATACAAAATAGACTTTTTGTAAAATGGTTATTAAATATATGTTAATATTTGTGAAGTTTATGTTGTGTGTTAAAAAATTGAAAAGCTCAAAATTTTGACCCTTACTTAAATTATTCTTATTTTATCATTTAATTTTATAATTTAAAAACAAAATAACTCAATTATAATTTCAATTGACAAATATCGCACAAAAAGTTTATAATTTTTCATTTACGATAAAAGTACTCGGATTTTAATATAAGTTTAAATTCAACAATTCAACGTTGACTTGCCTCATAATTCTACAGTAAAAATGTATTTAAATAATTGTTTCGTTAAGCCATTTTTTAAATCAATTTTTAATATTCATATTAATTGTAGAAAAATATTATAAATTGAAAAGTAATTTATAAAATATAAAAGGTTCTACAAGTATTTATAATTAATTACATATAAAATAAAGAAATGGAAAAACAAATCTTCTTTCACAGTGAAAAAACTCGCTGCCTGTAACTCATAAACGTAATTGCGTATTTAAGAGCATTAAATAAATGCGAGTGAGATAGAGTTAAATGTGTTTTATTAAGAAATAATGTAATTTAAATGAATACTTACAACTTGTATATGAACGAAACGCATCCGTCCAATACTACTTAGGCAGTTTTTATCTGAACTATAAAATTCGACGTCGAATACAGAGATCTATTTTATGTAAATGTAGAAAACTATATTATTATACTACAGTATACTATATATATATATATATATTATAATATATTATAATAAATTATATTATATTATATTATACTATATTATGTATGAATATTATTATAAATAGCGTTATTTTAAAAAGTCATCTTTTGCGAATGAAATATCAGAAAGACATGGAATGGTGTTGTTGTCTTACGAATTTATTTTCACAAAATCGTGTTGTCGCCTATTCGACCATCCGCCCTTATGAAATGATCCGTCCAAATATATATTTTAATTTTTATTATTATATTTTATTATTATTATTATTATTATTATTATTATTATTATTATTATTATTATTATTATTATTATTATTTTATTAATCATTTGTATTTTATTTTTGTTTTATATAATTTATGCGCAATTCATGATTGAATTAAATTAATTAAGAACATAAAACTAAATGAGGAGAGATAATATAGTGAGCCGGCCTCGAAAAATTTTTACTTTCTATTTATAAATACAGGTATACACTAAATATTGTCTTCTTTTTTTTATATGATAAAAGACATTTTTCATATCAATGCTTAAAAAACATTACAATTTGCTTTAAATCTTTTTTAAAATAGAAATTAAGAAACACAATATATTTTATTTAGTTTATTACCTTTTCACTTGATCTTTCGTAATTAATATCAGCTTTTTATTCATTTGAAATTTGATTTAGTAATATTTACCTCTATTTAACTAAGTTTTACTCGTTTTTATTTTTATTTTTAATCATAATGTTGTATTATTCATAGCTCATTAAATGAGAAAATCGGAAACACGAATTAGAAAAATATGTACATTTAATAATTCGCAAATGTCAAAGAGCGTGAGAGTGAGATTATTGAGTGCTCTTAAATTTTGTATATACATTATTCAATTGTGAAGCAATTATTTAATTTTAAGTGAAAAATGTTTACAAAAAGATGTAGTAACTTTTGCACAATGTTAGAGTCAAACTCATTTGCAAAAGGTGCAATAAATGGAAAATACGGATACAGTGTAAATTAGTTTTTGTTTATTTTTATCTGTTTCCCTATCCACGTTTATTACAAGTAACTCTATTCTTCATTATAACATTTTATAATTTATAATATTTAAATGATACTTTATAATTATTTTTCCTTCTATATAATACAATATTTCAATTCATACCATTTTAATTATATTAATATAATTCGTAGTTAATAAATTGTAAGTTTCATTCAAAATATTAGTTTTATTTCTCTGCCTATCAATAAATCTATTTTCGTTTCCATATCTGAAATTATTTGTTATTTTAATTTCCCATTCCTTATTTATATCAATTAATTTATAACGAATTATTTGAATTTACAATATTTTGTTTTTAAATATATTTGTATTACCATTTCAATAACAAAAATTGTTTCAAATTTTTAATGAAAAATAAATTATATCATTAATTTAGAAAAAATTAACTATATTAATTATTACGCCATCGTTTAACTTTCTTTGATTTCTTAATAAATTAGTTAATGCATTTTAATGTAAATGAACCAGACAATATATCTTAAAATTATAAAGGTATTTAATGTTGAAATAATTTACTTAACAGAAATGCATATAAATAACAAAAATTACGGTTTAATTTGTATATATTTCAACTATGTTAGATATTATTTCTATAATTGAAACTTTAAAAATATATTAGATATAATATCAAGAAATAAAATCGATAAAAAAATTTTTCATTATTTGCAATTTTTTAAATTCTTAATATTTTTTTTTCAATTAAATACAACAAGTTAACTTTTCCTATACTAGAATCTATATGTTTTTGACAATATTTAAATAACATAATTTAAATATGAACATTTTATTATTATAATAATAAATGTGAATTAAATATAAATTAAATAAATTAAACTTTTCAAACATATGAATTAATAAATTTTAGAGTTTTGGAATTACATTACTTTTTCAATAATTATTTATTTAAATGCATGTAAAACAAATAGATTATATTTGCGCGCGCAATAAAAGAATTAATATATATTTAAAAGCGCGTATTTAAAAGAACAAGGCAAAGTAAATATCATTGAAATAATAATTTCTGATATTTATGTTTACAAACATAGAAAATAAAGCTCACAGTATATTATAAAATAAATTTTATTAACAATTAATAAACGTCTATAGTTACTTACACATTATAAGTGAGAAACAAAGTGTCATAAATTTATCTGTCTCAGTTGATACGGTCACATACAACATACAAAAAAAAAAAAAACAAAAAAAAAAAACAAAAAAAAAGAGTTATCGACACGTCGACGCATCGAATATGCTTAGATTATATTTCTTTGCTTTTTTATAATAAATCAAGCAAATATTACACGTGTACCTTAAAATCGAATCGTGAATGATTCTCGTCGATTCCTCACCCGGAGGAGCGAGAGAAATAACGCATACAAAGAAATCCCTTACGAAGTATATTTAATATATCAATTCTTATAAGAATAAATTAATTCAAAATTAAGTATTAATAAGTTCCATATGGAGAATCATAAATTTTATCATATTACATAAGTAAAACAATATTCATAATTTATAGACAATATAATATTTATTGATATATTATATAAATATAATTATAAATGAATTATGTGATATTTTTGAAATTTAATATTTTGTTGTGATGTTTCAAATTTAATTAATACGCTATTATAACGAATTAGTAATATTTATTTTTGAATATTGCATTTACTGTTAAATTTTTTCGTAAGGGACAGTAAAAGAGAAAGAGAAATATAAGATAAAAGGAGATAAGTAGAGCGAGAAAGAGAGAGAGAGAGAGAGAGAGAGAGAGAGAGAGAGTGAGAGAGAGAGAGCGTGAGGGGGGGAGCAGGGAGAGAAGTGACGAAAATTCATTTGAGTTATAAATAGCGTTTTGCAAAAATAGACGATGTGAATATATAGGAACCAATGAATCTTCGACTCTCACTAACATTTTCTTCGTTTTTCCTATGTTTTCTTGCCGAAGTACAATTCTTACTACAAATCACAAATAATACGATTGCATTTATTTTGTGTTTTGGTTGTCTTTATTTTTCTCTCTTCATTATGTGTAAAAGGTTTATTTATTACAAACTTGAATGCATCAAAATTTGTAGCATATATTTGAATCTTGTTCCATTGTTTTTCAATTCAAGAGAACATAAGAGAGAAAAATGTACAGACAGGTAAACCTATATACACTTGTATTATTAATAGATCATACTTTCATAAAGTTACGACTTGAGTTCGCAGACGGGCTTCATCGACGATTCACAAATTTTAATGAAGTAAGGAAGGAAGTTATACATCTACTTTAAACCTTTGGTAAATCAAAAAATAATTTTTTTATAAAAACTTTGTTTGTCGTGGATTGTAATAATTTATTTGATCTTGAATTCGGTGTATATCGATGATTTTTTTTTGTTTTGTTTTTTTTTTGTTTTTTGTTTGTTAATACATATTTCAATAAAATCCCATATCGTTTAATCGAGCAATGCAACAGCCATTCAATACAATATATGTCAAAAAAAAGTTTAGAAATAAATTTTCTAACGAACACGTAAAATACGTTCACTATAAAATTATGTAGAAAACCTTGTATAAAAAAGTTGGTAGAAAATGTTAATATCAAGAGCTCTTTACAATACGTTCTTCTATTATTACGAATATTTATAACAATTTATATTTGCTTTTCTACTTTCAATCTTAATTATAAAAATTATAATTTGCATAATTTTAAAATATTTATTAATTCACAATGATTTGATATATAAATATAACTTTTATTGAAAGAACATTTATCACCTTATGTATACTATTTGTTACAAGTAGACATTCAAATAATTATTAAAAAAATACATTCATATATTTTTACTTTATAATGTACCTTCTTTCTTTCTTTCTTTTTTTTTTTCTTATTTCTTTTTTTAGTACTTTTGTACTTTATTTGAGTGATAATTTTAGAGGCTGTTTCTAGTTTTCTTGCTTCGTAGAATTATAATACTTTCAAGTTTAATAATCAAATGACTTTATAATAAATACAAAGACTACTTAAGTAAAAGAAAAAAAAAAAAAAAACAAAAAAACGAATCATAACAATTTTAACATAATATTATAGATATTTATTTAATTGCCGAAACCGTTACGAATGTATTTGCCGAACAATAAATAATTATCATTGACATATTTTGCTTTTAGATTTGTTTATAAACTAACTGAAATTTTATACAATTATTGTTTAAACGAATCCGTAAATTTTGCATGAAATTAAAAATAAAATAAATAATAATATTTTTATCGTTATTAAATTAATTTACGAAATTATATTTATCTGTTAACTTCATATAAATTTAATCTTTCACTCGTGTCACTTTTTTTTTTATAGATTTAATTAAAAACTACGTGGCTCTTAAGATTAAGTATTCACGTTATCGACTTAAATTATACTACAGATATTCGCAGATACTATAAATATGATTCTGTTCATATCTAAAGCATTTTTTTTCTTTTTTTTTTATTATTTTTTTATAATCAATTCTGTATTGGATGTACCATACTTTAATACGAAGAATTTCATAAGTAATGATCATTTTACGGAAGCCTATAACTATACTTATATAAAAATAGGATGCTTAAGCTGATATTTAATTAAGTAAAGAATAAAATGAACAATAGTTAAAATTTTCAACTTCAATAATAAATCTGAGGTCGTAAATTTATCGCCAAACTAATATAATTCGAGCATCAATTCATATCAAATATTATGAAAGAAATTGCCGATTGAAGGAATTTTGAGCCTGAGAATGTATTGGTAACTTTGACTCTAACAAAGCAATAATGTTTCAAATCCATCGTAACGTAGAATATTTGATATTTGAAAGTAGAAATCGACAGTAATTGACAGTTTGGAATAATAATCCTTGACATATCTAATTGCGTCTAAGAATCTTTAAAAAATAAGAAAGAAAAAGAATATTCGTTAAGTTAAACAAAAAGAAAAGAAAAGAAAAGAAAAAAAAAAAAAAAAAAAAAAAAAAAAAAAAAAGAAGAAGAAATTTATATACAGGAACACAAAGCCATTTAAAGAGCGATGGAAAAACGAAGAAGAAAGCCCGAGAACACATCATGTATTCGGAAAGTGAAATCTGATAATTTAAGGCACTATCAAGGACGACATGGTTCTCAAAAGAAGGTTCCTCGTTGCTTAGGTGCACTGGATATGAGCTCACGCCTTTTCCAAACGGGTTGCGCTGCCCCCGTAGAGCTCGAGCTGGTTACCGTGGACGAAGAATGGGGTGCCGCTGGAATCGTCGAAGACTGACACGACGTCGAACTCAGTTTGGACGTCATCGCCTGGCTGCTAAGACTCTCTGCGTCGGGTATATGGCGCGTTTGATGCCTCGAATCCGTGTATCGACGCTTTGTGTACTTTTTAGTATCCGGGGTTGAGCTCGACACGCCACTCGACGTAGTTGGCGTGCTCGAGCGTTGTCGCACGTTTACGTCTGGCCTATTTATGTGTAACATCCTTTCGATATCCGCGGTCTTTGACCTATCAGCAAATCAATGGATGAAGCGTTATGTTTAAGAAAATTTGTTATTTTTTACAGTTTTTTTCTCTTCTTTTGTTCTATAACGATAATTTAACGAAAAATACTGGAAAGTTTTTTTTTGTTTTTTTGTTGTTGTTTTGTTTTTTGTTTATTATTATTATTATTATTATTATTATTATTATTACAGTATCATTTTGTGTATGTTTGAAAATGAAAATAGCCTATTATTTGAAATTATTTGTCTTATTTACTTAATTAATATTTATTCTTTGTTTGTATTCATTATGCAGTATTTGATTTAGAGAAGGATAAAACTTTTTTAAAGAATCTACTGTTTTACGATTTCATTTCCAATTAAATTAATATGAAGAATATCTAATTGGATAGATTTTGCAGCATTATGTATGTAAAGCTTCCATAACTTTATTTGCAATTTAATTGTATATTTAAACAATAAATATATACTGTATTTCAAAGTTCTTTCAATAATTGATTTTAGTGTTCTATTCGATCGTTACTCTGACATTATTTTAACTTTTCAATGCTAAAAATACTTAAAAAAAAAATTATGTTTACAAGCACACACACGCGCACACGTGCATGTTTGAATTTCTTATATTTAATGATAAAAAGTAAAATTGGATATTTATAATAAATAATTATCTAGTTATATAAATAACTAAACTTTAAACGGTAATTTATATATTGCTTAGGTATGTATGCATAAGATTGGAATTTTATATTCATTTTTACAATATTCAATCGCCAACAATAAATTAAAAGAATAATAACACGTTTTTCAATGTGTTGGTTTGTAATATGTTTTAACACCGATGTTTGAGAATGATAATTATTAAATAGAATCGCGTTCACGGTAGAATCGTATTCGACGTTTTTGTAAAGCTCTTTGAACAAGTATCTGCTGTAATTTCAGTGTCCTTGTCGCTAAACTCACCTCATAACAGCACCGCCGATACTTGTGATGCTGGGTGTATAAGGCGGAGCGATGCTGGCTTTCGACGTATCCTGCTGACCATTAGACCTTGAGATTTGTCGGAGTTCACTGGACGTTGTGAACGATACCCTCTGTAGCGTCGGCTGTTTCTGTTGCTGAAGATGTTGTTGCTGTTGGTGCTGCGAGGCCTGATCGGGTACGTAGGATACGGCAGTGACGGCACTATCCGGACTTGCTGGTGGAGTGGAAGCCCACGAAAGCGGAGAACTTGGCGGTTGGTCACCCGAGAACGTTGCCGAGGAACCCACCGCACTGTCGCTCCCTATTACGCCACCCCCACCTGCTCGAGAAGTATCCATACTTTATTCATAATTATTTATTAACGGCAGCTTATTACAACTGTAAAATTGTGTTGGATTTTTTAACGTACGACAGCGCATTTATTAGAATAAAAATATTATCTTTTAGCGGGCAATTGCATTTTTATATATTTCAAGGTAAAATTTTAAAAATACAAAGACTATTGACTATTTTACTTCGGCTGTGACTAATTTATTTATTTTATGAAAAAAAAAAAATAATAATAATAAAATAACTCCGGCTGACTTGAATTTACACAGACTTTCTGCAGTTCTTTCTGCAAAGAATTACTTAAACTTATCTAGGATGCCTCGCGACGTACGCGATCGATATGTCTATGTCGCTCATGATAATCATTATAAATTTCAGGGAAAAATAATATTGGCATTTACCATCGATTTTTATAACATTAATCATTCCATGGTAATTAAAAGGTGAAGCGAAGCGATACCTTTCATTTCAGCACAAGTGTAAAATATCTTAAATAAAGAGTACTCGTAAAAACTACTATGGAACGATTCATCACGATACGACAAATGAAATATAATATTCAACATCGACTTAAATAATAATATAAGGAAACCGAAAGTACTATGAAGCAGTTAGATAAATAATATTTAGTCCGAAATACATAGAATAATTCAATAATTCATTAATTAATATTTTCGTTAAAATAATATAGCTTCTATGTACTAAATGATCGATAAAAATTAATTCAAATTCAAAACTTAATGGAACAGGATATTCGAGATACTAATATAAATATTGTGTACTATCGAAGTAATCGTCATCTTAATTGAATAATAATAATTTACATTGACAGAAGGTAATTTATGCAAAAAGCCAATTATTTATCTTTCATTGTAATTTACGTTTGATTTATAAAATCATAAAGTAGTTTCAATCAATATAATTAGCCATCATAATAATGCGTATGGAAATTTGTAAAAAAATTATTCTCCATCCGATGTACTTATTCTATTAACGACAGATAGACAAATAATTGACCTTCGCTACCAGACGCCGAACACTGTCTTTGTCTTCTAGGTGGCGCACTTGGCTGCTGTTGCTGTTGTTTGCTCTGCGAATTGTTCGAGTCCTCGATGTATGGAATGTCCGAATCGTCGAGGTTCAACGTGAACGCCCCGGACATCGGTATTGTCAGACTCGCCGTTATGACCATTGGCGAGGACTTGCGCCTCGGATCCGTAGGATCTTCGCTCGAACCGCTGTCGACGCTATTGCTACGGGCTGAATCCTCCTTCTTTCGACTTCCAGGTCGTTTCGAACGTCGTGGCCTTGGACCAATGTCACCGCCTACCCCGGCCGTTTGGTGCAGACATTCCTCGCGTGAATAAAGCTTGCGATTTGAAATGGGTGCCGCTGTGGCGGTAGCCGCCGTCGATAGAGTCGTCGACGACGACGTCGTCGAGGTTGTTGCGAATGTCGCCGAGGAGATTGCGCTTGTAGTGGATGCCATTGGAAATGTTGTTGCAGTCGAAGAGAATGCCTCGTCAACGGAGTAATTTTCCGTTTCGCTGTTCAGTTCCAAGTCGTCAGCGCATTGCCTATGATTTTTCGTTTATATTTATTGATATAATTCTCAATTGTCCTTATGATGCATATTTGCAAAGATATTGCAAATGGCTTATATTATTGTTATCTAATTTTTCTTTGTGCAAAACGTAATAAATACGTATTAATAGTATCGAATATGCGATCTGCAATGATATTTTGCATAAATTAATAATAAACTAATAAGATAATTAATTAATTAATTTTCATAGATACAAGATTTAGTATAAGTCCCATGAATTATTAAAAATAAAAATCTAAGATAAAGGTTTAATGAAAGGAAGCGAAACTAAAAAAAAAACAATAAAAAATAATGACACAATGCCTTTAATACGTTAAAACAGCTCGTAAAAGAAGATGCTAATTTTTTAATATGCAATATGAGGATATTATAACAATTTAGTGGTGATAGTAAAATAAAATACGATAACTCTTATAAAATAATGATGTAAATAGTTAAAATTGAAATCATAATTATTTAATGTACTTTTACATTATCCAATTACAGATTATTTTATTTTACAGTCATTTTTATACATTTTCATAGGAAAGCCAGTCATATTGGACAATACGATTACAAAAAACATTAATTATGCAACGAACCAAGAGAACCGATTACTTCTTAATATAATAGCAGTTGGGTATCCAAGAATATATTATCGAAATTGAAAGTAAATCAAAGTACAATACTACTCGGTAAGTTAAAAGCTAAGAATATATAGAAGCGTTAAATAGAACTCAGCCAGTATAAAAAAAGTTTGAAGCACGTTTCCTAAAAAATTCATATTTACAATATCAGTTATCAGACGTAAAATTATCAGACGTAAAATTATCAGACGTGCAGATACAAATAAGTCAATACGCTTATTTATCAAAATACTTATATTTCCTATAATATTAATTAATCTTAATTATTTTTGTAACTTTTTGAATCCTTTTTGTAACTTAAAAACAATTTTTTTTTAGCTTTCTATTTATCGTGTGTTTAAGTAAATTTTTTTAGATATTATTATTGAGTAAAATATTATCATATATAAAGAAATATATATATATATATATATATATATATATATATATATATATATATATATACATATTTAATGTTAAAATTATATTTTAGTCCATTTATCATGAATAAAATTAAAACGAGCGATTATTATTTTAAAATCATTTTAATAATGTAACTCTAATTAATACATTCATTAACGAAAAAATATGTAAAACTGAGAACTATATTTATTTATCGCTAATAGCTAAATGTTTTTGCAATATTCAGAAAATTTTTAAAGTTGATACAAGTTTTTGTTGAAAAGATAGATAGATAGATAGATAAGATAATGAGTTCATAATTTATTTATACATATAATCTTAAACATCACAATAATCTTTGTCATGTTGACATTATTCCAATGTATATAAAAGAATAAAAAAACTATTAGAAATGTGTATTGTGAAGTAAGTAGACAACGGATATGTTTTCTTTAAAAATTTTCATGTAATTCAAGGATCATGTGAAAGATATACTTATTTACAAAAAAAAAAAAATTATTGATTCTTTATTTCCATCAATTCATATTCTAATCTCAGCTATGAGACGCTTCAACAATCAATTAATAATTCCTTTACGTTTAACTAACAGCGAACATATAATAATTGTTTTTGTTTTATTGCAATTATAAGTAGTTAAAAAGTTGAAAATGTTAGAACATACAATGGTTCTCCGTACCTTTTGCTTTTAATTTAATTCAATATTTAATTAATATTTAATTTAATTTTTTTAATTTTTTAAATTTAATTAAAATTAATTAACCTCGTTGGTCAACATTTGTTTAAATAAATTTCGAGAGTAAGAAGATGCCTTTGCATTAGATTTCGATGGACATACAATATTTCTTTTCTGTAATTACCAATAAATATCTCCTGTCTAATTAATTATTCATCATTTAATCGCACCTCAAAGTTTCATTTTCTCATAAAATAATCGTCCACGTTAATTTCGTTCGTACAATAAATCCTCGCAGTATAGACATATGTTAATGTAAGCACAGAAATGTAATAATGAAAGTGCCAACCAAGCCACACGGCCACATTTCATTTATCAATCCAAGCAGGTTAAAAGTAGCTAAAGGATTAATGTTTTGAGGAGCAAAAGATTGTGAGCACAGCCGGCAATAAGGGATGGATCCAGGGATGATGGAAAGAAATAAGACTCACTCGTCGGCCCTGCGGGAGAGGGAGAGGTCGAGTTCGGCTGGATGGCTGTCCATCATATGGAGGTAGAGCTCGTCCAGGAGGGCAGCCGGTACGATGAATAGCGTGCCCACGTGCTCGAGTAGGGCACGCACCACATTTATGACGTCTATTCTCTCCTCGGCCCTCTCGGCCGACACCTCCGAACGTGCTTGACCCGGTTTCACGCAGTGCAGAATGTTTGGCGCGAAGACCTTCGGGCAGCAGCGATCAAGTTTGTTACGACGCGCTCTTTTCTCTCTTATGATAGTCGGAGCTGATATTGACAATTAACAGCTCTCCCACCCCCCTACCCCCTCTCCCCAACCGCCACGGCCCCTTAATCCATCATTGCTCACTTGATAATCCTGCACTCTCACTCTCTCTCTCTCTCTCTTCACGCGCATACGCACTTACGTTCCCACGCGTCTATTATTTTATCTTATTTTTCCTCTTTTTCAGGGACTCTTAGATTTGAATTTAACGCGAATTTGTTAATATGGAAAATCATTTTGAAATTATTCTCATTGTCGAAAATTTCTTCATCGGAGTGGATCTAATGAAAATTCGCTACGATAGAAATATTGGAAGACCTTTAAATAGGAATGCCTGTTACTCTAAGAATAATAATACACGTAACGTAGAATTTGAATAAAATCGCTCTGCCATTGCCAATGTCTTTACAAGACATTTAAAAGTTTTATATGAAAATCGTAGTTCTTTAAAATTTATGGAAAAATAAGGAATTTTATTATAGTTAAAGGAAGAGAATGAAAACTGATAAAAATGAATAAAAAAAAGACGTATCAAAGAATATCTCTGCAAAAGTATCTTTCGGCTCAGATCAGTTCATCATCAGTTTAGATTGGATTTTCATATTTACATAAAATATTTTTAAATCGTACGTCAATCATCTCTATATCAACGAAATCTAAAGAAACGATTTTCATTCTACGATTTAAAAAAGCTTAATTGCACGTTCTACAAATTATTTATAGATCTTTTAAAAATATTATTTTTATTAAGATTTTTTTCTCTTCTACACAATACTTTACATTTTCAAATAGATGGACAAAAATAATGCATTTTTCAAATAATAATAATCACCATGAATTGTGCCGTACGAATAATATTTTAATACAAGTCAGGATCTTGAAGATATAATTGAAAACTAATTTGTCAATTAGTTCGATGCTTTAATTTTGCGAATTAAATATAATAATGACATTGAATAGAAATCGATATTATGACTATGAAATCGTTGTTCAATAATAATTGAAATTCATTTAAGAGACTCGGTGTTTGTTGGTACATGTTTGTTAAAAAATTCCAATAAATTTATCAATTTTAAGCTATTATTCTTTTAAAAATTACACGACAACAGCTTTAATATATGGATAAAAATATTTTAAAATTTTATATATAAAGAATTAAAATATTTTTTCTTATGAAATTAAATTAAAATCTACAATCGAATTAAATTTAAATTAACATATTTTATGAAATTCTTATACGTACTGTTAACGCTACTCTAATACTACGATCTTTATTTTCATTCCTATTTTACGATCTTATATATTTACCTATAAAAATTGATAACTTGATTCTTTTTCTTTACTTTATAGCAATGGATAATTAATATACTAAGTGAACATGCTTATATTTACCGTTGCAAGATTCGTTGTATCCATTTTATTGCCTGACAGTCGCTGACCGTCATCACCCTTACGATCCTCACTGTTAGCTACGACTTCGCTTAGAAAATTTAACAGAACATAAAGAGTTTCACGATTCGGGGTTGGCAGTAACTGTATGAGATGTTGGAGTGCTTCCTGCTGCAATCGTCTATTACGGATTTCTGTAATTATAAAAGTTTTTGCAACTACTTCTCTTAATGCCAATGTCAACCTAAAAATGTCAAAAGATCCTGATTTTTACGTACAACCACAAATTTTCCCCTACATAATTAAAGAGCAAGAAATACTAGCGGTAAAAATTATTATAATAATGAATAATATTTCTTTATTATTTAAAAAAAAATTATATTAATAAAGTAGTAGTGGTAGATGTTTTTATTGGAGTTTATTGTATCTGGGAGTTTAAAAATTATTCTGGAATATTGACGTTTAGTATCCTTAAAACCTTTTAAAAATCTTTTCACAATTCACTCGTGCCAAAAGAAAGATCTATGCATTGATAAGTATTGTAGTGGTAATTAAAATTTGACTTAATCCATTAATAGCAATTGTTACCTTAATGGCTACTTAATATTAAACTTACATTATTTGAACATTTATAATTTTTATTTATTTGTAATTTTTGAAATTAAAAATTCGGATTACTTGATACCCGAATTATTCGTAGATCAATTTTTATGTGCAATTATCAATTGATCTTAATATTAAAATAAGTATTTAATTATTCAATGCCGATGATACCTACTTTGCGTGTGCACGAAGGCCTGATAAAGATCGCGACAAAGAAGGGGATCCGGCAAATCCCGAAAGTACTCCTTGAGTAGAGCGGCAACGTCATGAGGACATTGATCTGGACCAATTTTGGTCTCGCGAGCGCAGTCCCAATCTTCTCTTAACTTGATAGCAGCATCAATAAGAGATTAGAAAAGAGAAAAGTTCCTTTTATTTATAATATTAGTCGCATTAATTACATTAATTAAACAATATTTTTGTATTGTATCATGCATTGTGATAATAAATTTTCGTCTCACTAAAGCTGATAATTATTTAAATTAATGAAAACAACAACAGCAACAAAAATATAAAAATCTATCAATCAAAAGTTACCTAAATTTTATATCTTGTATATTGTTAAAAAATAGTTAATCTATACTCACACACAAACATATATTATTTCATTTTTATTAAAAATAGTTAATCTATACTCACACACAAACATATATTATTTCATAATATATTTCAAATAAATAATTTTCAATAATATTTTCTTTTCTAGTATATTTTACCTATAAAAAAAATCCATTAATATCATCTAATTCTATTTATAAATTTATCTATTATATTTAATTTTTAAACAAAATTTATAAGAATAATGATTATTTGAGTGTTGAATGTGAAAAAATTGAAGTCAGGGAAATAATGTCTTAAAATTCTTTAACGTTAAGTTAATGTATTTCTCATATTTTATTATACAGATGAATCATTCAGTAGAAAAGTAATCAAATAGCTTAAAAAAATATATTTTAATTGGTAAGTAATAAACATTGTGGAACAAAAATATGAATACCAAAAATTCTGAAGCTCATAAGATTAATATGTTGCAAATTTATTTACAAATGCGTGCAATCGTAATTTGTAGAATGTATTTTTACAAATAACCGGGCAATTTCTTGAAAATTAAAAAAGTCGAAGAAACGTTACTTTTATCAATGCAATATTATTATACGTAGATATAAGACAAAATAAGAGAAAATCAGTAGTGAGTACTGAGGTTAGAAAATCTGTTTTGTAATAAATCGTTTCTAATAATTATAAGAGAAACTAATTTAACGCTTATTTGAACATTTGTTTTAAACGTCGATCCATTTATTCATTGTTTAACGCTTACATCATATAATATTATTTATATTTTATAGAATTATTTTGTTTTTTTAATGTTAATTTGAGTCGTCGTTTCTCGATAAAAATATCAGTTACTTGAAAAGAATAATATAACGTAGAATGAGGTGATATATTACCTGTCTAACGCGCTTCTTGGATGGGGAAACACGAAAGATACCAAGGGTATTTAGTCCTGTCATCTCGAGGTGCCTGATACATTGTTTGACAATAGTGGGCACAGCATCCCACTCGTTGGGTGGTCCACCGTCGCTTAGTTCCAAGACGCCAGAATCGCTCCCCGTCAAGGCACCGCCTTTTGATGATAAAGATTCGCACGAACCTCCCTAATTAAATAGTTATGCTTTTATTCACATTAATATAATAAGGGAATTAAACCTATTAAATTAATCGTATGTTCAAATAATTTCATCAAGACTTTTTTGTATTTATATATATATATATATTAAACTTTCGATTTGCATTTAAATGTTTAAGCATATTTTATCTTAAATTGGAACAATGTATATTTACAGTTAATACAATCGGTAAAGTTTTAAAGATAAAAGTCGTCAATAAATATTATTTAAGTTTAAGAAATATTTTAATTATTTGAAAAGATCTTCGTATTTAATACAAATGAGTTCTGATCAAAATCCTCCTTATAGTACAATTTTCTATATAAAAAATATGTCACGGTTAAGGAATTTTGCGAATTTCAAAGCTGTGAAATTACGCAACAAGTAAATCAAGACCCAACGGTATGTTATTATTTACACATCGTTAAAGGAGTGCAGCAATGTTTTGGTTATACATAAAAAAGTTCAGCATAATACACGCGTTTTTATGACATCTTGGAAAACTGATAGATAATATACCATAAAAGTATAACGAGATATATTGGGGATTTGCTCTTCGGCAATAAAATTTCTACAGAACTAAATGTTTCTGTTGATATTTAAAAACAGAGAAATATCTTGGATGTTATTTATAAGTATACAAGTGCCACATAATCAACTATAATAACATTTATTTTATCAATAATATTAACAAATTTTACAAGATAGAAAATTATTATTTGATTTATCAAACGTTGAAAATTTTTTTATCGAATTATTGAAGAATCTTGTACAAATATTAAGGTTTTTCGTTTATATCGATTTCCATTGAAATCATTAGGAAGTAAAATATTAATAAAGAATTTTTATCCCATGACACGTCGATTCTCTTATTCTGCATATAATAATTGAATCAACAAACATGATACAACTTTTAAAGTTTTATTGTACAAAAGATTCTACGCCCTGATTATGTATGAAATTTATAGTGATATCTATATAAAATCATTACCAATTATAGACCAATTGTAGCTAGAAATGTCATTTTAACAAGTTTTATTACAGAACTAGAAGCTTCAAGCGAAAATATACTATAAATATATCAATATGATAATATTTATATTTGAGTTAACCCGATAGTATTCAGTATTATTTACCTCATACTCGATCATTTAAACCAACTAACAATCGTAACATTAAGCACTAACTTAATTATAAGTTTTATTTCTATAAATTGTTATTTTTGTTTTTAATAATTAGATAATTTCTATCGCAGCACTAAAATTCATTTAAAATAAAATATACTTTGATAAACAATATGTATTATTTAATGATTATTTAAAAAGGGCCACGATTTATAAGTAATTTTACCATCTGTGAATTGCTGCGATGTTTTTATCAGCAATCATAAATTATATATATATATATATATATATATATATATTCGTGTGTGTGTGTGCGCGCGCGCGCGTGTGATCGATTATTTTTATCGTAATGATTTTATCATAATATTGTTTACGTTCCACAATTATAATAATAATATACAAGCTTAATATCCCGGATTGCGGGCTTATACGTAATTGTCTTGACTTCACGAATTATATTTATGTATCAATTCATAAAGATGGGAAATCACTTTAATTTTAAGTGCCCAGCTCTCTGTTTGCCAAATGTATATATACGTATGTAGATGTGTTGAACTTTATATTCCAGCTCTTAGTAAATAAAGACTCTTGCAAAATTATGCGATCTCAATTAACCCATCGGACAAAATTAGCACATTACAGCTCCGTCGACCCCGACTTTATTCCCGTCTGGTCTCTGAGAATTCTGCTCTCCCTCATGACGTCGTTACTCCGAATGTGTGACGTAGGGTCTGTTTTTGTATAGAGGACGTCCAGCAGTCTGGAGGGCTATTCCCAACGCAAGGGTAGAGCCGCTCGTGGATCAGAGAACGTATTAAACGTAAATGACTTGGAAGTATTTGCTATATGTAGTTCCCGAAATTGCGAGCTCGAGGCAAAAGCAATAGTATCGAACTAATGTGCGCTAAAACGTTTATAATTCTAATTTACGATTTTCCTATGTGCGTATGGGGATTGTAGCGAAAAGTACTACAGGAAGTTTCGATAATAACTACAACTAGCATAAGCCCTCTTTCAATAATGACGACGTTCAGTTTATTTGAAAACATTATCATAAATGAAGTTTGTATGTAAACTTTTCATGTTTCTTATTTCTGAGAATGTTTCGAAACTAGATCATTAATGCTCGAATAGAATTCTTATTTAGATCAATTTTATCAGTTAATTTTTCATTAAATTTAACACTCGCCCCCCCCCCCTCCTTTTTCCCTTATTGAGTCATTCATTATTCGTAAGTTAAATGTCACTATACTAAAAATTCAAGATCTATACATTAAAAATTAATGTTATATATATATATATATATATACATATATATATATACATATATATATAACCTTTTTATAACATTATTAAAAACATTATGTATGTAAACTAATATTTTATTAAAAATTTGTGTATGAATTTTATTAATTGCGATACATAGCTATTAGAAAGAAATAATATAAATAACTAATCATTTAAATTCTACAAGTCAAATGGTAATAAGATAATATAAAAATATAATATTTTGTGATTATCTATTACAAACATAAAAAGACATTTTATTTGAAATTATATATTTATATTTTAAGATAATAATATCAGTTAAAATTAAATGTATAAAATGTTAATGAACCTGTAGTATTAATGTTTTAAATATTTTGTCTCTCAAATATAATAAATAATATTGAGTAATAATATTTTTAACGAACATAAAAAGGTAACATGCAAACGTGCAATGAACTTGCTATGAATTCTTATTCAATTAATGAAAATAAGAATTTTTTCTATAAGATATTAACTTTCTTTAATATGCATCGATATTAAAATGTTATGTATGCATTTTATTACATTGTTTATATAGAATATTATAAATTCTTATTTTCATAAAATTGTTTGATACAAGAATTTATCATATAATTTATCATGTAATTTATTATATAATTATATTAGTTGATTAATTATTATAAATCCATTATTATAACTCTAGATTGTCTAAATTTTTAAGAAAAAAAAACATTAAATAAAGACTTTGAGATTACGTTTGCAGTATAAAAAGAATTTTATAAGTTAATGTTATACGTTATAACCAAATATTCCACAAATACTCAATAAAATCTTTTTTTAATTTTCAGAATGATCATAATCATTTAATATTTAATTATATATATATGTCTTGTATATACAAGTATGATTAATCAGTAAAATAGCTAAAATAGTATGTCAATAAAATCAAGTTTATAATATATTAATTATATAGAATAATTTGTATTGTTTTTCCGTATAGAAATAAGAACATCTTATTGGTGTAAATTTATATATATGTAACCATTGGCTTGATAAGATTTCTCCATTTATAATTTAAAACAATTTGTAAAAGTAATAATCATACTCATAAAATTCCTCTAACAGATTTTTTCATTTATATATGAGTTATTAAAACTAAACTAACAAATTGTCTATGGCATAAATCAAATAATAGCTAAAAATAAATCTTTAATTTATAAATTCATATTAGATAATAAAAGGCCGACTTAATGTATCTATTTCTACTTATATAAATCTACATGCGCATTTATTCCTGTATGTTAATATTATGAATTAGTGAGACTTGGTAACTATTGATTATTAGAAATTACTTATTTCACATAGTAAATGGAGCCTTAAACAATTTAATATTATACAATACATAAGCAATCTTTTAAGACTTACTTTATATCATTGCTTAATGTGTCTTTCTTTAATACAGGACAACTATTATTTAATATAGGATTTTCTATATTTTAAAGATAATTTCTAAAATATTTATTTCATGACGAATTGGAAAAATATTAATTATTAATTCATTGATAATTAATTAGATATAGAAATAATCCAGTAGGAAAAAAAAAAGAAGAAAGATTTTAATATTCTTGAAAATTGAGGAAATAGGATATCTTAAAGCAAAATGAAAGTCAAGGATATTCATTTTAGTTTGATTTCATACTATTGATTTATTTAGAAAAAAAGTAAAGTTTCTAATATTGAACAATCCATTCATTTTATTTGAAAACTCTAGGTTATGAATATTTATTCATTTTTATTTCAAGTAAATTTTTGTAGATTAAATATATCTGTTCTCTCAATAACAATTAATGTTTATATTGTCTATTGAAAAAAACTATCTTTTTTCAAATACATATTTATATGTATCACTATGAATTTTTATTTTAATAAAATTCACTGCCAATTCATGTATACGAGTAAAGAATCATCTAAATATAAAAACGAATAATTATATTTTAATATAATGTTTATTTCTTATTTATATACTAAATATAACTGTATATAATTTATAATATTACCGAAATACACTATAATGCCAATTATTAATTTAATATTTTTCATTTTTCATTTCATTAACTTTTACTTGAAATGCATTTAAAGAGAGCGTGGAAAATCAAATAAATATGATGGCATTATATTCTTATATCGTAAACATCGCTACAAATATTTATTTCAATTGTAATAACTTCAAGATTTTTGTCAATTGTCTAGCAAATCACGATATAAATTTATGAAATATTAAAATAATTATAGTTTATTATTACAACATCTTAGCTTGTATTCAAGAAATAAAACATGTTTAGAAGACAAAAATAACTACCACGAGAAAATGATGGTTTTTAGGTTTTCTTTTATTCATTACATTACGAATATATTTATATATATATATATAGGGAGAGAGAGAGAGATAGAGAGAGAGAGAGAGAGAGAGAGAGAGACAAAAAGAGGCTAATAGGTTCATCTTTAGTATTAAGTAGTTTATTCCTCTAAATAATATAAAAAACCATAAATACTGATACTCTAATCCATGAAAATATATTTCTTGAAAAATGAAAAATGTGTTTATAACTTTTCAGAGATGCATAGTTTTGTGATTTAAATAAATGTCATAAAATACATATCGCATACAATATCGAACATAAAATTGTTTTCAATTATTTTTAATCCTTTATATTTTGAGTGCACATTTATTATTTTTAATTATTCATTAAATTATCGAACAATCGATTTTTTTTTTCAATACTACGCATATACATTTCAATTATAAGAAATCACTTTCTTTGAATGATTTTACTTGTTCTTCCAAATAATATATTATATTATTCAAATTATTGATAAAACATGCTAGCTTGTAAAAATATATTCAAAAGAAACTATAAAATATTTTATTTCTTGCAAATCACAGCCATCTTATGGTTAACATTTATTTAAAACTTTTTAAAGAAAAGCAAAATATAGATGCAATTCACATTTCACCGCTTCCCTATCATAACGAGATCGTTATCATTCAACCCACATAGCAAAAAAAACGTGGCGGCCGTTCGGTAAAATGGAAATTAATAATGTAATGGCTTAGTAAATATAGTTCAACGCGAAAAAGATTTATTTATAAAATCTCCCAGGAGAGCTGAGCTTGAGCAGGCGCCTCTCGTCATCGATGATAGTTTAGTGACCGCATCGCGTCACAACGTGACGACGTTCACGGCATGACGAGGTTGGCCACAGGATGCTTATGTGACTGATGGCACGCGCCTATGAGTAATAAATTTATTTAAAGTCCTCCGCCAGTACTAGTGTGCAAGGCATTTTAACCTGCGCTCACTTTTTGAAGGCCTGGAAGAGAGGACTTTTAAAGATATTTAAGAAACATCTTCGTAATGCGAGTGAGCGCCTTTCCTATAGAAATATATTTATTAAACATTTATCTACAATAATAAATATATCAGAAATTCATCGATCTTTGCGTAATAATAGCGATTAATCAGTTGATTACCTTGTCACTTGATTACTCGAACAGTAATTGAATTACTGTAATAGATATTAACAGTTTTAGAATGACTAATAGAATTTTATATTAATTTCATTTATATATACGAACGAAATCGTTGTTAAATTCGTAATTTTCAATTTTACAATTAAGTAAATTGTAAGAAAAATATGAGCGATAAAAGAAGCGCAAGATATTTAATAATTCAACTTACTTATATGTATCAAATGTCGCTATAATAATATTGTCAATATATCATAGTCAATATAATAACGATCGACACTCTACTGTTCCATCATATTTAGTAATTAATATTCGGTAATAGAAATCTAAACCAATGGAATTTTTGCATTTTTATATGCTTATGGCAATAATCGATTATCTTATAAGAGAAATTATATAAAAGATTAAATAATGAAGAAATCTAAACCAATGGAATTTTTGCATTTTTATATGCTTATGGCAATAATCGATTATCTTATAAGAGAAATTATATAAAAGATTAAATAATGAGAAAAAAAAGAGGGAAAAAAAAAAAAAAAAAAAAAAAAAAAATTATCGTCTGTTATGCAATAACTAACTCATCATGATCTATGATAGCTCTAATAGAAATTTCTCCAAGAGAAAACTCTATAATACATAATATAGAAATTATCGAACATTTTTTGGTCAATCACATATTTTCCATATGAATTATCAATCGCACGCATATCATTAACATATTATTAATAATAAAACAATCTTTACAAAACATTTGCATAAACTTATACGTAATTTAATAAGACATCCGTATAAGAAGCTGTAAAAACGATATCATTCAAGCTTAAATTAATTTTAAATTTTCAATCCATTATTTTATTACAAAGACTAATCATAAAATCAACAAATCGAAAACAAATCGAAAATAGTGAAAAAGTGTAGATTCATTATAGCTGCTTTTCATGAAATTAAATCACACATAATGACTCCTAGTAAACACATAGTCAAACGATATTGTTTTAAAGAAATTCAATAGACGTCGAATAATAATAATATCGAGAGACACGATTAATACGATTGCGAGTTATCATTCAGATCGCAAGTTGTGAAAAATAATCCCTACTTATAGCATCATCGTCATTTCTTTAATCAAAAATCCGAAAAATCTTTTCAACTTTTGTAATAAAAGACAGAAATTGCAGAATCCTGCCTTACCTCTTCGGCTTTCGCAGCAGTTGTTGTTTCATTTAGACTCGTGAAGCTCGTTCTACTTCCATGTCTGCTACTTCTACTAAGGCAACCGACGTCGTTTATTTCTCCCAGAGCCAGACGCGCCAACCTGTCATTCTCCAAACACTGAAGCAAAGAGATCCCAAATACAAGGCCTCCGCTCGGTTCTACACACAATACATTGCAACAATTGGTTCATTAGCAATTAATTATAAAAAAAAAATAAAAATAAATAAATAAATAATATAGACCGCTGAAAAAGTATTAGCCTAGTCTATAATATGCATGTTAAATAATCCTTATTCCAAACAACTTATTTTATTTTTAAATATTCTCTCAATAGTTGGTCCATTAATTTAAATTTATAAGATTCTTCACAATTGTCGTAATTTTTTCGTTAAATAACTTAATTTATCCTGTTTTTACTATTTAATGTATTATTATATGATTAAATTATATGCTCTTATCAATGCATGCAGAATAGATTATGTTTTACAAGTTAATTCAATATAGTTATAAATAGATAAAATTTTTATTGTTATTACTTAGTAATATATATGGTCATTCATAAATAGTGCAATATAATAATTGTTTTATTGTCAGCGATAAAAATAAATATTAAATTTATTAAAAAAATTTAATTTAATCGCACGCTTTCTTTAGAAATGTATTGAATGAATATAGTGTTTAACAAACTTATATCTCTACTTTTAATCATTAAAATTTATTTTAGAATTTCTAACAATGTAATCGATTACTTATCCAATTGTTTTTCAAAAGTACTATAAATTCTATTTAATGCTTTTATTGAACATATTGTATTTTAACAAAATCTAGTCGAGAGTAATATTTTTATGTTTTAAATAGAAAGGAATGAGGTAAAATGAAATTTGTCCTAAATACTGAACTAAACAATGTTCTTCTTTTTAAACATAGATGAATCTATCTTTTATGCTAACATTAAAAGATTTAAAAAGTATTCAAAAAATGAATATACTCTATAATATACAAATTACAAATATTTATCATATATACACGTGTTTGCACATGTACGTTCATGAATATGTTGATTGTGTTTCTCTGCGTGCGTTTATGCGTGCTTGTATGGTAGTATGGGAGAATTAGCGGGGATAGATACATCTATCTAGATATTTGTTAAAAATATGAAATAAAATTGAATTTATTTGGTGCAATATACAAATTTTCTATACTATTTATGAATTATTTTTTTAGATGAAAATAATTTTTTTCGGTTCACACACACACATATATATATATATATCTTTTTCTTTTTTCAATATATTTTGTTACATATAATATATCGTAATAACAAATTTAAAATAAAAATATTTTTTAAAAGAAATTTGTCAAAAAAAAAAAAAAAAAAAAAAAAAAAAAAAAAAAAAAAACACAGGTTAGCATTATATTTATAAGAATTATTATGATTAAAAAATTACATTATCGTAAATATAAATGAACATACAAATGATTAGTAAATAATAATAATATTATAAATATGCATTCAGTGTTGTAAGTATTTAGAAAATACCGCATTATTTTCAATGTAATTTCTAATATTAACTTTTAACGATATAGAAGAATCATGTATTATAACGGTATGTAAAATTTATAAAAGCTAAGCAAAAGTTGTTTTAGAACGTTTTTCGAGCATATGATCATCCGTCGGAAGTGCTTTTCGAATGTCCCAGATCTTACGATCTATAATCAGAAATTTTAAGATACATACACAGTTCAACTATATTTCACTTCGCATTGTCAAATATTTTATATTTGACTAGACCTAAGAACCAAATATTTTTAAACCTCGAATTACGTCTTGTGCAAGCGAATATCGAATTCACTTCAAATTTATATAATGCAATTAATCAAACAAAAGTTTGACTCTCCTTATCCTTTATATTTCTAAATTCTGATAACCAGTTTTGTATAATTCATTTAAGTAGTATTTTTTTTTTACTTTAATTAGTTCAAATCTATTTTCCTATGATCTTTTTTTTTTTGTTTTTTTTTTTGTTTGTTTTTTGTTTTAACTAAATAAGGATTTTATAAAACTATCTTGTAAAAATATTTTTTTATCTAAATTTCGATATTTTTAATTCATAAGACAATCGTGATTTAAGTGCAAGAAAACCATTTAAAATATGTTTTGATTAAAAGTAATTATTTAAAAAAAAAAAAAAAAATTTCGTTTTTCTCTAATATACATTTCGTATAAAATTCGAATAATCTTATTAGGAATTGTTATTATTAAAGTTGATAACAGACAAAGCGCTTTTAAAATTAAGCGAGAACCGAAAATTTTATAATATTCAAAGAAACATATATAATAAAACACTAATCAAGCTTGATATAAAATTTTATTCCCGTGCATAAATTAGAAAAATTATTTAAATTAGTGAAATTTTAATGAATAGTGAATGTATCAATAAAAAAAAAAAACACAAGAATAACGCTAAAACTTGGCAATTTTCAGATTAGAAAGTAAAAATATTTCTATGATATATGATTGTCTAAGTTTACAGGCCTATTTAATTTACAAAAAAAAGAAGAAGAAAAAAAAGTTTCAAATAAGGTTTTAACACGTATGAACATTTTAACTTACTTCTTTACTTACAATAAATTTTTCACATTTATAAAAATATTTTGAATTTTAATTTCAAATTCGTTGTACTTGTACAAATTTACATGATTTTTCTAGTAAATTCGTTTTGCATTTAGCGGCAACTTATATTTATCCTATTATTTTAACAAAAGTGATAAATCTTTTAAAGTAAACATAATAAATTTAACGCGGTGCCGTTATAAATATATTATAAATATATTATTTTCTATAAAATTGTATCATTAACAATAACATTTTATTTTACTGTTTTGGATTATGCATTATTTTCCAACTTATACTAGAAATAATTTTTTTTTAATTTTCTGTAAAATTTAAAAATCAATTATAAATTATCAGTAGGTTATAATAGATTTAAGAATTAGTAATATCTTTATATTCGTATCAATGAAAAATGAAAATATTTATCACTGTTATTTTAAATAGACGATCGATGCTTATTCAATAATCTCAATAATTCATAAAACGAGCAATTATTAAGTTCTATTTACAGTCGATTCAACTGAAAATTCAATATCCAATTGATAAGCCAACTATCAATTAAAACGAGTATGAATATCGATATCTGAAAATCAATTTGAGTAGTGCACGTGTGTATTTTACCCTTAGGCTATTATGACGTAACGATAACGAAGCTTTCGTAATTATATTCGTAAACGATTTGGAAGATGGAAGCTTCAGATTGTCTCGCAAAGCTCATCTCTTGAATTTACTCTAATTTACTCTATATTTATTTTTGTTGGATATATATAATTTTCATAAAAGGATAAAAAGAATGTTCAAGCAATAACTGTTTTACTTAATTTATTTAAATGATTAAAAAGAAATATAATAATAATAGTATTAATTGTTAATAATTTGTTGGATTATAAAATTTTACAATTCTTTATATTAAATCCAAAATATTATTGCGGTTATAACTTGATGTGTTTAAATGTAATTAAGTATTTTCAATTAATTAAATTATATCATTATGAATTCTATATATGTATATATATATATATATATATATATATATATATATATATCATTATAAAATACGTTATAAAATTGTCATTTCAATGCAAAAAGTATGGATATTTAACATATTTGTGTCATTGAAAAGTTGAAACTATACGTCACCATAAAAAAAATTAGTACTCATAATATAAGTAACTCAGTCAGTTACAATAATCCAATGATATTCAATTTATCTATAAGAAAATTAATTCCTACTCTTCAAATACATTATAAAAATTCATAAAATCCTTTTAAATTATTGAATTTATATATAATATTTCACATTGTGTCAATAGATTTTTTTTTAAAAAGATAAAATTTTTTAAGACATAGAGTTAGATTGAGTTTAGACGTTAGAGTTTAGATGATTAGAGTTAGATGACTTATGTAATATGTAATTATGAATTTCATTATGTCGTCGATACAATAATATTAATTTTTTAATAATATAAATTCAACTATTTCGTTTGGCAATATTCTTTATAACAATGATAATAAAATATTTCATAATTACTATTTTTCAGATTTATATTTTCATTTAATGCTAGAAGACTCATTGATAAATTATTATTATTATAAATAATTTTAATGCGATGACTTATATGCGCAAAATTAATCGTAGGTAAAATGTATGAATTATTGATAATAAAATATGATTGATAAATTTAATTTTGTTCGAAAACTGTGGCACCTTTGAGAGAAAAATGACATTACTCGTGATTTAAGATAATTTCTCCTCTTCTGCAACAAAATTTATAATAAAATAATGACTCTTTAATCTCCTCCATCTTTAGGATCACCAATCACCCTAAATTCTTTTAAATAATTCATTCTATTTTTGATATATCCTATACATACACAATTTTTAATAGAAACTTAAAAACTGTGAGCAAGAATAATATTCACTGTAATTCTTTCCATTAAAATTCTAAAGTTTCGAGTACTGACATAATTAGAACGAATGTTGCTTCAATCTGATTCGAAGGCTTGTTTTTGTTTTTGAAAACTATTCTCGCATCGAAGTATATTTATTTCAATTAGAGCAATAATAAGAAAGTATTATATTTGTAGATAGTTTAATTGAACGCAGCATATTAAAAAAAATATAATATATTACAAAAAAAATCATTTCAAATTGATTATATTATAGCGATAAATATTTTATAACGATATTAAAATTTATCTATTTATTATTTAAATGAATTGAATTAACAAATTTTTATCGAAAAATTTACGCATACTTACATATAAACAAAGTATCATTTGAATGAAAATTATTGAATCGTTTATTTGAATAAATAGCTCAAACGTATGCCATTACATTTATTTATTCATAATTCGTATTTCGACAGAATGCTAATTTATTAATCGTTATTCTATTATAAAATGACTCCAACGAATGATGAAATATGATGCGATAACGAGGCATTAAGTATCAGTGAATTGGGTGATAGGAGTCTCTAGTGCTTACCCATATTTTGATTGGATAGCTTATGTGCGAAAGTGTCTAGTTGCAATTTTCCACTCGCAATTCAAAAAGAATTCCTAAATGTAATGGAAGCATTAATATTATTAGATTGAAATATTTTGCAATGCCCTTCATCCCACCACAATATTATTGTTCGAATTGTAAATTCAATCAATGTATTGAATGCCTGGGATTACGTCTAGTCTGCTTTTACATTCACATTTCTAATTAATTCAATGCATTTAAACTGATCTATTGTTTTAAAATTAATTAAAATAATACAATATGTTATATCTGACTTCTAAATTATTTCTATTCTCTCGATTATTATAAATACTTTCTAATTTTTTTTTCTTTTTCAGTAGAGTAAAGCTTTATATTTATTTCTAAAAATAATACTTTCGCACAAAATAATCTTGATCATTTGAATAATTTTTAGGTTAATAAGTTAATTCCAGAATAAAATCTCGAGACTGCATATTAAAGCGGTAAAATTAACTTTCAAAAACTTTATTATTGTAAAGTTTTAATAATAATATCTATTTGATTTGTAATAACTTGTTTTATTTATTACAAAATTTAATCGAATATTCATCTACGTTTATTAATATTTAAAATATATGTTTATATATATATATATATATATATATATATATATATATATATATATATATATTTTTTTTTTATTATAAAATAAAATTCACTAACCTTTCTCCTTGTCGTCTTTTCCTTTACTATCAAAAAATCCAGTGGTCAGAGCCTTTCTCTTCAACAAGTATGCGCGCCTTTTAGGCTTAGCCGAAACTGAATTGCTACTTAAAGATTCTGTAAGTCAAATAATATACCCAATTTTAGTAAAACTATGCAATCATTATTCTTCTAACTAATATAATAATAAATATCATATATAATATCATAATAAAGCTAATATGATAATAGAGTAAAATTGGCTTTTTAACTAGATGATAAGATAAAACCTAGATTTTCTGAAGATATTCGTTCTCATACATATTTATACTATTTGATTTATTGACGATTAGCGCTGATTTTTCAATTGCGTAGATCAAAAGTGATAAATTGTTATACAAACATTCAGGTTGATTGCAATGGATAAAAGGTATGTTCAAATTATGAAAAAGTGTATCAATATTTTTTTATATAAAATTCATGTAAAATTTGAACCACATCTCTTTCTTCTCTCTTTTCGATTTTTCAATTATCTATTAAAAAAATTCAAATTGGAAGTAGAAATGGATATACAAATGAAGGATTCAAATTGTTAGATTTAGTTGAAGAATAATGATAATATGAAAAAGTTTTATATTATTTTTACATCCACGTGATAAATTCTCGGGGCATAATTTTCCAAGCATGTAAAAATAGAATGATTATTTATTTATTTTCTTCAGTAATTTAATTTAATTCTTTAGGTAGATTTTTATAGAATATAAATTTAATTTGAGTCTATGTGTAGCAACTACTTATTTATTGAATTTATTTATTAACTATGACAATGATGTGCTTGTTAATTACTTGTTATTATACTAAATAAATGTACAGATTAATTAAAATGCAATCATTCAACTGGAAATAGATTACATTTCAATCTTAGTATAAATATTTAAAACGTAATACATAATCGAAACGTTATTTCATACGCTGACAATTAATTATAACGTAAAAAATATTGAATATTGATATATTATGCGGAATGAAAATTATTGATTTACTATAAAATTTGTAAAAAAAAGTATCTTTCATTTCATATAATTATTGATCAAAATTTTAAGGAAATTATAAACATTACAATACACACATATATATATATATATATATATATATATATATATATATATATATATTTAATACATCAATTTATTAATGTCGAATACTTTTAATCATCATTTTAATTATATGGATAAAATTATAAAATTATATAGATAACGTTATTCGTTAAGAAATCTATTCTTATATATAAAATTTATTGGATTTGATTATACTGATAAAAAATTATGCTAACTTTTTTTTTGTTTATTTATACAATCCAAAATTTTATATGAATTCTGATATGAATGTGGATAATTCACAATAATAATATTGTCCTTTTACGTTCCTCGGCTTAATCATAAATATACACCAAAGGAATACATTAGTGATTATCATTGTCGTCGAAAAGAATTATTGTTACAAATACTAAGTTCTCTAACATTATATATACACATTCACCCTTTCAATTAAGAAAGGTAATTGTTTTTCTGAAACAATGTGCAGACGACTTACCACTTGGAGGTCTGATGTGTACGCCGAGGTTGAGCGCTTGAAGCTTGGCAACAGCAACCCGACAGAGGACCTTCCTTTCAATTTCTAATAATGAGCGCAATGGCGTATCCTGTAAGGTTACTCGTCTTCCATTTGTGCCAGCCCACGTGCATTTACCCTGCAGAATAACAAAAATTTAAATTATATCTCAACTGATTCTGAGAATATTTATCTATCTTAAATAAAAAGAATATGTAAAAAGTCAATTTTACGTGATGTTACGAGCAGTATAAAGTTATAACAATTTTTTGTATGTGACTTAACATAGCAATGGTATTATATAATTATTGTATCTACATGTATCTACATCTATCAATATTTCATACTTGTACAATCATATTTGTAAAAATGATTTTCAAATGAGGACGCAACTACGTTACATGATTGGTAAATAAATATATGCGTTTACTTTGTTTCAAATGATTCAAAATACCGAATAAAATCTGATTTATCATATCATTTATACTACAAACAATAAGCATTATTTATTTTTACTTGTAAGTATAAAGTTTTTATATAAAAAGGTAAATTAATTTTCTGTGCAATATATTGATACTCAGTACGCCACTAAATTCTCAGACACTAAATTTATAATTATATTTATAATTATATATTGATAAATTTGAATAATATTATATAGATAATAATATTTAAAATTATATATAAAATGAACATATATATTTCTTCTAAATAAATAAGGATTCATTATTATACCTCAATTATTTAATAAATAAGAAAATAAACAATATATCTTGAATGATATGAATTTTTATAATTATTTTAATATGCCAGATAATTGATAAAACAGAGATATAATTAAAAAATAAATTATCTATATATAAAGCTCAAATAAATTTTTTTTTTTTTAATGTATATTGATATATATTAAAAAATGGCATCCATTTATGTTTGAATTTATAAAAATTAATATTAAAGCTATTAACATTTTATGTACGTATAATATAAAAATATTAATATTATGGTTATTTAATAATTAAGATTATAAAGATTAAACTTTTAAAAAAATTTTTCTCAGAAATACTTATAACAATATTCATTATGAATGTTTAATGGTTTAACGTAAAGTTTGTTAAGAAAAATATAATGAAATGTTTAATTGAATTTAATGAAAGTGCACTGACTTTAAATAAATTTTATTGACTAATAATTGTTCCCGATAATGCAATTAACTTTATTCTTAAAAAAAAAAAACATAAGCACGTAAATATAATACTTTTTAATTCTAAACAGACAAATACTATTCTAATGTACCACTATTTATGTAAATAAATAAATAAATATATATATATATATATATTCATTCAAATTATCCACAAGAATGTATAAGTCAAAATAAATTGAATTTAAGTTTTTATATAAATTTCTTAATAATTATCTGAAATATATTAACATTTTGTTTTATCTTATCAAATGAATCAATAATTCTTATATAAAATAACGAATGGCCAACTTTTGCTTTAACACCAATTCAATTTACGCTTCAATATTACATATTCCTGAAAATGTAATTCTATGAAATACAATTATTATTTCTCTACTTATTATATTATTACATTAGTCTTACTATTATTATTACATTAGTCTGAATTGCTTTAGATTCAAAATAATTAATAACTAATTAATTTAATTTTTTTGATTCTGAAATTATTTTATGTTTATAATAACTATCTTCATTTTGTATATTGGAATAATTAATATTTTTAATGAGTCTTTTAAGTTATATTAAATTGTATTACTTTACAATTATTTACATTAATAGTTTTATATTTTATAATATTAATATATAGTTAACATATTAATGTATTTCATAATGTAATATTTATTGCATTTTAATTCAATGATTTTTATAAAATTTATCTTATAAAGCTTAGCGTAAAGTCGTGAATAAATTGAGATAAAGAAAAAGGGCGTTTGTTGAAAATTTTTTTATAAAATTAATAAAAGATGATACGGTAGCTTAAAATTGAAAATAATAAATAGAAATAAGGAAAAATTGAATTTATTTGAGTTTTTGTATTAAGTATTATTACACGATCGCCTAAAGACCAAAATGACCAAATTATTTTTCGATAATATGCTTAAATATTATTTCATTGTTTGAAAACCGTTGTCATATAAATATGATTAGCATAATTGAATTTTATATTGTTAATGATGAATTTTTAACTAGCCAAGGAAGGAGAATATTAAAATAATAATTATTTATAAACGTTTTATAAAAAAAAAAAGAAAAAAAAAAGAAGAAGAAAATACGGCGCCATCAGTGACAGATTTAAAAATCACTTCTATTATTATTTTTTATCTCTTCTGTTTCAATTCTTTCGAGCCAAATCGTATATTTATTTATCTATTCATACTAAAAATAGATCGATAAATATACCGTTTAGCTTTTATAAATCAAGATAAAGTAATTTTCTTAACTTTTAAAATTCCATATCCAACAAATAATAAATTAAACTTATTATTAAACTTATATAATTTTTATTCGTTATTTTACCTCAGTTATATATACATGTAGAGATAACACATTTAATAAATATTGTGAGGACTTGTAAGTGTATAAAAGTTTCCGACACAATTACATTCATAATACGACTTGTGATGATACTTTAATTCACACATAATTAATAATGTCACCATTACAGACACAATATGAATGAATTTTTTATTAACTTTAATGTAAATGATATTTAGTTTTTCAATTATATATTTAACCTTGTTTCAGAATAATACTTAATTTCTATAAATTACTTTCTAATATAATAACACATTTTCCAAAAGTGACATTACTTTAGAATTTACAGCAATTATAGATAGCTAATGTTGATAGGGCAAGTGTTTAAATTAAGATAGTTTAAGATAATAGATATAATATATATATAGATATAATAATAATAGTTTAAGATTAAGATAATAGATTTTTCAAATGTATAACAACAAATATGATTCAATGTTACGTTATAAGTAATAATTGAAAAAATAATGACGTAATAATAATAAAATGTGTTTTATAAAAGAAATTTTTAACACTTTAAATTGAAAGTTAAACTTTTATTATTTTCCTATTTTTACTTAGGAGAGTTAATTATAAGTAAGATTGAGCTAAAGATATAATAATATATAATATATAATATTCTCAGCAATATAATATAATAAATAACGAAATAGTAACAGTTTTATAAATAAATTTTCATAGGGCATCTAAATAGAAAGAAAAACTCTAAATCTAATAATATTTGCAAAGAAAAGTATCTAAATCAGAATAATTAAAACAATAATTTATATAGATTGAAGACATTATAAATTGAACATTATATATATATATATATAAGAAATAAGCGGGAATTTTTTGTTTGAAATTGTTAGTAATCTTTGATAATAGATTTTCAAATATTATGCAAAACTAAAATTAACTATTTACTTATTTATTTATTTAAATTATCTCTGAAAAATAATTAATTATAGTGAAATATATAACATTAGTTAATTATTCATTATATACGCCATGAAATACTGAATTTTAGCTTACAAGACTATTAAAAATAAATATCCAATTTTTGTATTTAATTGACAATGGTATTTTTGAGAAATTATTTTTTGTTGTAAGCAGATTTTACGTGACAAGATAGATATACTTACAACTTTCTCTAACTGTACAGCATCAAGTTTAAATTTAATTTAATTTAATTTAATTACTGTTAATTAATCATTTTGTACAATTAAACGTATTAAAAATATGTATTGAAAAAGGTGTATTTTTAGTTAGGATTTAATATTAATGAATATTTATACAAAATATTAGTGGCTTCATTATGTATTATAAATGAATTATTAAGGTTTTAATTATAAGCATTATATTGTTTGGAAAACATTTGAAATAATCGTTTATTTTTAATTAATAGCTTTGTACTTATGAAAAATTGTTTTTTAACTTATCATTGTTTCAACAAATCATATAACTTATATGCTATGCAAAGTATTTTCATCAAAATAATTATGATTTCTAGCCTTAGATCTGATAAACATATGATAAAGTTGCATGCGTAAGTTTGTGACTTCCAGACATATTTATATTTTAATTAATTCTAGATATTGTTTGGTAATAAAATTGTAAATATTAATTATTAGTTAAATTAAAAACATGAACTTTAAAACAATATGAATTTCATTTACACTATCTAATTTCGTTAATTTAATATATATGTAAATTTAAAGAATTTTTTTATTTTAATTTGGTATTAAGAAATTGATTAAAAATTGAAAATGAATGTATATATATATATATATATATATATATATATATATATTTATATTTATCAACGATAATAACAAAATTAATTGTACATTTTATAAAGCCTGTAAAAAGAAATAAAGTACTTTTATTGATATAAAATTGAAATTTGAGAGTCTGATAAATTTTAGTTAATGCGTGCAAAGTTTGCATGTAGAGAAAAAAGTTTAAACGGCGCGTGTCACTATACAAGCGTCTAAGCTCTCTTTCGTTCCCTTCTCTCTCTCTCTCTCTCTCTCTCTCTCTCTCTCTCTCTCTCATCTCTTTTCCTCTTACACTTTATTTTTCCCTTTCTATCTAACTTTTCTTCTCTTTCCGTATTTTTGTCTCCTCTGCTCCGCGTGTGTGCTCTCTCTCGTGCCCCTCTCTCTCTCTCTCTCTCTCTCTCTCTCTCTCTCTCTCTCTCTCTCTCTCTCATCTCTTTTCCTCTTACACTTTATTTTTCCCTTTCTATCTAACTTTTCTTCTCTTTCCGTATTTTTGTCTCCTCTGCTCATTCCTTCCCTCCCTTCCGTCATCACTCCCTCGTACTCTCTCTCTCTCTCTCTCTCTCTCTCTCTCTCTCTCTCTCTCTCAGTGTGTTGAGTGCCTATTTCTGTCGGCAGCGGTGAAATTCCGAGGCCCTAAATTGGTTATCGTGCGTCCCGCTTTAACGGGCTTTTTCAGCCTGTACCACCACCTCCAACACCCAAGGTCGCCCTTCCTCGAGTTTCCTCAATTATTTCCGTTTCTTTACATGAACTCAGCGCACTGACCCTCAGCTCTTAGAAATCATGCTCTTCTTTCTCTTTATCTCTGTCTATTTTTTTGTTATGCAATTTGCAACCATGTTACACGTGCCGACTAATTATTTCCATAAATTCGGTATAGACGATTGCAATTATGTACATGACCGGATTTCTATTACTGAACAATATATTTGATTAAGAATAACAAATTTACAATTTAATTTTATACGTAACCATATTAAATAAAATATTTTAAAAATAAATATTTTAAAGTATTTAAAGTAGAAATTTACAGTTTTGATAGAATTTAATCGAACTAATGCTAATTTTAGCCTAAATAATACTACCATAAATTAATATTTTAATTAATTCATTGATAATAACAATCTTAATAATAATTCACATACTTCGTTAGCGTTCTATTTTAATGTACTTATTATTGTTGATTTAATCTAAATTCTTTTTATAATTTTACTCAGATTAAATTTAACAATCAAATAATAGTAATTTAGTTTATAAATAAACTGTGTATTTATGTAACAAAAAATTTTCACTCGACATACAATGCTACTTACGTCTGTAAGCAAACTTTGGATTATTTCCAATTGCAGACAAAATAATAAGATAATTACTTAAATACATCTAATATTAAAATACTGATTTTTTTTTTTTTTTTTTTTTTAATACAAAATCAGCCACAGAAAATTAATAATAGAGATGAAAAAAGCTTTGATTATAAAACTAAAAAAAAAAAAAAAAAAAAAAAAAAAAAAACAAACAAATATAATTGTGAATATTAAGAAGGTTACAATTTAAATATTTGTTCAATATTTCACACAGACTTCATTAATTAAAAATATTTTACTAATTTACAGTATTTTAAATAATATTAAATTAGAAGAATTAACGAAGGATTTTAGACGAAAGTACATTTTTAATTTTTTGTTGTCCTATTCTCATTAGTATTAAGACACATTTTTTAAAATGTGAAAATAAAATGGGCAGACTGATATTGTCTTATTAATATTTTGTCATTTTTCGATTAAATCATTTATAATTATATCTATTGCTTTGCTTTAAATATAATTAAGAATTATTTTTAATCAATAGAATAATTAAGTTTGCAGAAATATATCAAATTAAAAATAACTTGATAACTGAAGAACACGCACGCACGCACGCGTGCACAGACACACACACTCACAAAAATATAATAATGTTTTCTTTTCTATAAAATGATAATTTATCGATTCTATTTTAATAAAATTAACTGATTTGTGCTGAAAATTTAGATTTTTTTTCTAAAAAAAAAAAGAAAAAAATCATTTTGCTTTTTTGTAAATTAATATTATTCTAATACATATTTCATATATAAAATACGTATTCTATATAAAATACACTAAAATAATTGTTTCAATAATATTTTACGACAAAAAAAAAGTAATATTATAAAATATACAAGGGATTATTAACATAATATAAAATTTTCCTTTCTTTAATATTAATGATGGTCAGCTACAATATAACCAAAAATTCTATTAAACTATCTAATTATAAAATACAAATCTTCTTTTAAATCTATAGTTTAATATTCAAACAATAAAATATTAATTGCAATGAGTTTCATTACATACTAATGTTGTATTCACTGGAGATTTTATAAATCTTATACTTTCATCACAATGATTTGTAATACAATGACTATATATTGTTTTATTATTATATTTTTATCATTATTATATTATTAATAATTAAATTAAATAAAAAATTATTTATTAAATTAAAAATTAAATTAAAAATAGTTAAGACTGTATTTAAGCAATGATAATTAATATATATTTTCAGTTTAAAAAAAATTATGCAAATTATGCATAAAAATGTTCAAACATGTAAAACTTAAAAATATATATGTTTATTTTATTATTAGGCAATTGGAAAAAGATTTTACATAATATTAAAAAAGTGGAATATAAAACATCGACTTGGTTAAACTTTACTTTAAGTAAAATTGGCAAAATATCGTAACCAAAATACAAGAAAATTATTAGCGCATAGCTTCGTAATTCTTATCGGTATTAACAAATCTTGTAAATTATTTGTTTTTAAGAAAAGCAAGTCTCCTTCTGTTTTTCAACATAAATTTCAGAATCTTTTTCGCATAGGTAATATAAATGCCGGCTTATGATTACTATTAGTTGCCTGAAAGCCGACGCTACTTCTACTGCCGTCGCGCACTTTTGGACATGCGTGGGCAGAGAAAAGAGTACCGCTCTTTCCTAAATATAAGCGACCCAGTGACACATGAACATGTCCAACATGCGCACATATATACACTCACACCTACGCGTGTCGCGCGTACACAGTCGCCCGCGCACGTACACACACACGCGCGCACACACACACACGCACACAGACAAATAAACGCACGCACATATGTACATAGAAATATCTACATATATATATATATATATATATATATATATAGAGAGAGAGAGAGAGAGAGAGAGAGAGAGCGAGAGAAAGAGACGCGTAAGCAACATCTCTCTTTAACGTTTAACTACTTACTTATCTACCGATTGATTCATTTTTTAGGTACAATGATAAATGTATACGGAACTTCTATTTATTTAATATCTTACGTAGAACTTAAAAATATAGGAAGCAAAAAAATTTTGCAATTTCGTGTAATTTTATTATAAAAACAATTTAAATAAACAATTTAATATAAAAACAATAAAAGCAACAAAAAAAAAATAAAAACAAAATTTCTCTTACTATTTAGCTCATATTTTAATTGATTGCTAATAATCGATATTGATTATTGATAACATTCTCTTATAAAAAATTTGTATTATGAGAGTTCTTTGGTACCCTTGTTGCGCAGATTTTGAATTATTTCTTTGAAATTTTGATTTTGGTTTCTTGAAAATTTGATTTCGAATATTTAAAAAAGAATATTAAACCCTTCTATGCATATTAGAAAATTTCCATTACATTTTGTACTATTTTATTAATTGGCAGTTCATTATTGTAAATTAGTTTTTTTTTCTTCAGAATTATAGCTTATAAATTTAACAGTAAAATTTAAATAATTTTTTATTATTTAAATTATATAAATTATATAAATTATACATATTATAAATTATTATAATTAAATTATATACATAAATATAATAAATATAAATTATAATTATATACATATTATATAATTATATAATTATATAAATTTTTATTATTATTACATTTTATTATATGTTTTCTTTTAGAGAAAATATTATAGAAAACTTACTTTTCAGTTACATATATGTATTCAACTAAAAAATTACTTATTAAATAAAATTTTATATTCTATTATTTGTTCGTAGTTGAAACTCCTTATTTTTATTTCTTTCTATAAATGTTCTTATTGAGTAAAATGGGAATCGAATTTTTTGTGTTTTTTTTTCTTTTTCTAATTTCAAGTTAATCTAATTTTATAAAAGTTTACTTTTGTAATTATCGAGAAACTATATATATATATATATATATATATAGTTTCTCGATAATTACAAAAGTAAAATATATATACTTAATTGTTAATTAATTAATTTTGGGTAATTACATTAAATAGAAAAAAAACATTTTCAAAATTGAATCATTTGATTATTTCTTAATTCTTTATTTTATAATATTTATCGTTTAATGACATATTAATATCATAATAAAGAATTTTTTCAACTCGCGAACACTCGTTTTTTAAAAATAATTTTCTTTTTCAATTAAAGAAGGGTAGTTTTATTTTTACTTAAATCATTACGATATTTTTATGTTTTATAATGATTGATTAATATATCTTTACAATTTTTGACACTTTTTTCTATGTACACGTTAAGCAATTACAAAGTGCTCTCTCTCTCTCTCTCTCTCTCTCTTCAAAGCCTTCCAAATCAATTATCACGTAGCATATTATGTTAAAATATTCAATTAAAATATAAACTTTTAATTGATTATCTGTTGGTATGTTATTAATAATCTAATAACTTTTAAGCAATTTCGCGTAAAATCAGACATGGAATTGTTAAATGAAATATGTAATTAATTCATTAGTATGAATAGGGTTTGTTTCGCCAAATGAAATTTAACTTTAAGGAAATATTTAGATTATATTAGGCTCGATTAAAAGATATTATACCTAATTTAAAGAAAATTATATAACCTTTTTTTCTTTAGATTATTAAAATATTAATTATTGTATTTAGTAGTAACAGACTATATTTTATTAGAAAATTCAGTCCACGGATTTATTTTAAAAAATGATAAAGGAACTTTAAAATGATAAAGTGAACATTAAATTTTATTTTATTTTATTTTATGTGATAAAGGATTTTTTAATATTAATATTTCTTGAACTATTGAAAACTATGACTATGGTTAACTGAATAATGAACTAATTGAATGATAAATAATGGTTTATTATTATTATTTTTTTTTTTTTAATTTTGGTATCTATTAAATGTTTAATTTATTTATCAATGAAACACATTATAATCTCTTATTATATTATAAATCACTATAAAATGTATAAAAAAATTTTAACGTTAATCATAATTTGTATGTGAACTCTTATATTTATATTATAAGTGCAAGTTTGAAATTGACTATTAAGGATAAGTAATTTAGAGAGAGCGCGATGGAAATGACAAACAGTGATCGAGATAAATCGAATGAATATATGCTATTTCGGATTAATATTTCGTAGTTGTATAATCTGTCAATCAAGATCCAATTATAGCTTTTAATAATGTATATATCATGACATAAGAATTGGTTGTTACTTTTTAGCTAAAGGAAATAAAATAAGATGAGACATAAAGTGAATGAGAAAAATGTTAAGCCTCTATTGTTTTTCCTTTGTAGTATTAAGACCATTAAAAGAGGATTGGATCGCGATTGATCGAACTCGTAAATACATTGGACATACCTGTGGCGTCCACGCGGACACTATATTAATTGCCCGGGATGAGCTTTTACTCCTGGACTTCCAGATCTTCTTGGCCACGAGTCTGCTACCGTGATGTACGACGCTACTCGAAGATTTGCTCTTCTGCATCGCGCTGCCACCTGGCGGATTCGTAGAAGAGGTTAATGCTGGCGAACCTGGCGCGGAGTGCGGCTTTTCTTTATGGGTACTATGGGAACCGTGCAGAAGATGGGATAGGAAGGACTGATGATGCTTGGGAGTGGATGGTGCTGTTTCTTCACTGCCAAGGCCTGCATCGATGCTGCTTCTGGAGCTGGCGTTTCTGCTGGCTGGCGACGCGGTCGTTTCCGCGTCGGAGATTGCCTCACCGGGTTCCAAAGAACTCATCTCACGATAACCGAGTATCCAATTATCATCGGTTTGGCAGCCCTTATTGTTGCCCTCGTCATCGCTTGGTCTCTCTCCTTTGCCCTTGATATTTCGTAAATTTCTGTCGTAGTTAACGCGCTTAAAGCGATCGATTTTATCAGCATCCATAGACTTTTTCCTAGCCATTCTTAGGTATCTTTTAATGGTGTCGCTCACGGAAGGTGATACGTCGTCATTGTCGACGCTGCTTCTTCTCCTAGCAGATTTATGAAGTTCCTTGGCAGATAGCGGAGGCGACGATTGCTCTTCCTTTTCCCGTTCGATGAGAAGATTTTCTAAAGTTTCTCTCGATACTGAATCTGTTTGTGCGTGAGAATCGACGGGACCGCGCTCGGTACTCGGGCCTTGAATGGCAATCAATGGCGGCGGAGAGGCTAGATTCCTTCTCCCGGCGGAATAATGACGATTTCCGTCATCGTTAGACGAAAACCTATTAGTTCGTGATGCTGTCGTTGTAGGTTCTTGGTTCCACCATCTAGCAGTTGGTGAAGTATAAGCGCCTGTCGCACGCGGTCCTCGAAATCGCCTTGTACACCGGAGATCGAAATAAAGTTTTTCAAGAAGTTTCCGGTCCGTCAGAATATCTGAAATAACGTGCTGCCTGTTGGGCGATTTGCTGTAATATCGGCTCAGCGTATCCAGCAGCGACTTATGTATATGATCGCTCTGATATGGAATCGTAACCTTAGGAATCGCGCCACTTATGCCAATCCCGGAACTGCCGCCACCGCTAAATGCGACATTTCTAGATTTTGTTGATGTAAAAGCCATTCTAGTCGCCTCGTCGCGCCTCCCCTCCATCATAATCTTATTAAGATGTTGCTCTAACTTTTCTATAAGTTTTTGATAATCGAAGCTATTTGTCGTTGTAGGCTCCTTGGCGAGCCCACTGCCCGTAGACAGATCCGTGGAAATAGACCTCGTAGTGACGGAGGCCTTGGAGCTGCTGTTACCACTGTCACCGGTCGTCGTTGTCGACGGCGTAGACTTAGGTATCCCACCAATATCACTTTGTATGTTCAGGTACTTCTGAAGCATGTCGGCTAAAGCTTTCGTCTCGCTATCCTCCAATGGAGGATCCTTGTGCTTCGTTTGCCTCGCCGGCGAAGCAATGCTCAATTCTCTTCCCGGCTCCTTAGATGACAGCAACCATTCTCGCTTAACCTGAGCGAGGTCTAATTTACCGGAGACGATTGGAGTGGATGATACACCGATACTGGAGCTCGAACCTCTCGAGTCGTCGGCTTCGTCGGCCGAGCTGGGCTTCGTTCGACAACTGCCGCCTGCTTTATGACGTCGCTTTCGCGCCGCTCGAAAAGCCAAGCTGCCAGGATACGATGTCTTTCGCCAAAGTAGAAACCTCGGCTCCCTGGTGCAAACGTCTTGAAAGTATTGCTCGATTTTCGGTATGTCTTCGTGTCTATTGTGGTTAGCGTCCGGTATCAGTCGGCGACCCGCGTCCGCCATATACCGCCAGGTTTTGCGCGTCAAGAGCCATCGCTCTTTAATCGGTTTGCCGGCGGTCTTGCGACTGGTCCTACGATCTTTGGAGCCGGGAGGAGTGCGCGATGAATTGCCGGCGACGCTCTGAGGAGCTTCCAGACTGTCGCGACGTGATCTCCGCCGGCCAGGACGCTCCGCCATAGCCTCCCAATCCTTCCTTGCCACGCGCACCACTTTCGTCCTATTAAATGGGACTTTAGGTCAAAATAATGGTGACGTAGACAATGGAGAAGTCGCTGCTGATCCTGCTGATTAGCACTGTCGAGCATTCCAGGGTTCAAGTTCCGCCGATCTGCTCGAAAGTCATGTAGAAATTCTAGACTTTTGTAATGGATGTGTAATCAAGGCGAAGAGCGATAGTATGAGAGGTCGTGAAAGTCGAGAGATTCTAAACCTTAGGTATGAAATTTTTAGTTTGACCACATTTGCGTGAAAATATTGCTTGCAATACTGTGGATTTACGAGCAATGTGTGTCTGTGGGTCTCTACTGGGTAGGAGTCGCCAAGGAGCCTTACGTACTACTGGTCCCTAAGTACTTCTGATTCTAATTCCTAAACGTAAAACAGCCAGCATAGTTGATTTGCGATTATTATTATGTCGATTAAACTCACGGCTATAGAAAAAAAATTGTCACTTTTTAACTCGCACTTTACAGCTTATCTCCAAATTACGGAGAAAAGAAACACTAGCAGCATTCTTCTCCGCGATCACTTATATAATTTGAACCTGGAGATTATCACTTAGCACACGCGTGTAATGCTGTTAATATCGTCGAGCACTTTCGCGGCGTGACGGTCAGGAGATGCGCGTTCGCGAATCGCCGGCGAGCGCAAGGTGGAAGCTGTCTAAGGTACGCGACTAACTACTTTGGGGTACTCACGACGTGGTTGTCGTCGTGGACCCCTCACTTGCAAGGCGTCTAAAAGCGTCTCTCCCTCGTCTCTCTTCTCCTCACGCATCTCACTCACTCTCTCTCTCTCTCTCTCTCTCTCTCTCTCTATCCGATGACTTGTTTTCTCGCCTAACTCTAATGCTTCTTGCTCCGTCGCTCTCGCTCCTTCCTCGACTTTCGCTCTCGTTCTCCTCTTCTGTTCTCGAAGCCAGTGTAAGCCAGCGCCGCCGACTAACTGAAGAGGAGGAAAAGAGAAACGAGCGCGAGCCTTGACGGCGTGACGTGGAATCGCGCGAGACGGCTGCCACTAAGAGAGAAGATACACCAAAGAGCCGATGGGCCGAAAAGAGGAACATGTACTAACTCGCACGTCTTCTTCTCGCGATGCCAAAATACTAAATAGCGTTAGAGGCCAGATGCTGCTGTGGTCCGCTTGAGGGAGTGACTTTTGAGGAAAACTAGAGCTTTATCGGACATATAAGTAACGTTGTCTCTTTCAAGTGCTTGGAGCATTTTTTGCAAAATTTCAACGCTCATTGGTATGCCTACAGTAGTCCTTTTTAATATCACAAACTCCTTGCATTTAGCATTTTTTACGAATAAATAAGCCTCAATCATTATATCATTATTAAATCAGTCCATTATTGTAGAATAAAGACAATAAATACTATCTTAGTGACATCAAATATGCGCATATGTGTGCTTATTAGAAAAAAAAAAATAGGATTTTCATGGCAAGATATTGAATTATTGTTGAATCAACTAGTTTGCGATATGTTAAAATATGTAAATTACCTGTTAAGCTACTATGCACAGGTCGACATTTGATTATTTACACATGCTCATAGTAATTATTTATAAGCGCTTTTAATATTTATTGTGTTAATTGAAATACTATGATAATAACAATGTTTCTCCAATACTATTTTTATAAGGTAAGTACATTGTAAATTTTAGAATTACGAGCTCACTTCAATTCAAAATGACTATAGACGAATGATATTATAAAATTTCATTCTCATTGCGATATAATGAATAAATATAGATAATAAATATAGAAATATTTTCATTTATATGACTAATGATCGGTCAATATTATGATTAAACTCGCTTAAAAACGTTATTTCTTTTTTGCGAGAAGAATTTTTCAACTAAAAGTACACGCTCTTTTATGTTTTTGATTAAATATAGATTATAAAAATATACTAACGCAAAAATATCATATTAAATAATATGAATAATTTTTCATTTGTATTAATTTTTTAAACTAACGAATTACTTTAATGGATAATATATTATTAGTTTTAGCGGCTATCACGAATATTAATTTATTCTAAGTCAAATATAATTGACATATCATCATACTTTTAATTTAATTCAATTTCTTTCAACTTAATAAACATATATTCATTGATTATTAGTTGTATACGGCCAATTTGCATTATTTATATATTTATATTTGAATATCATAATATGCAAATGTTAAATTGAATTTAATGAAACAGCCTTATACGATATTTAGCCACGTACCTTCATTTTTCTAAGGTAAAAATTCATTTTATCATGGATTTAGCAACAGACGCAGAAAATTGAAAACATATAAATAATGGAAACAGAGGGACAACGATGCTTTGTTTTAATAAAATTTTCAACAATTATTTTATTTCTATTCAAATTTCTAATTGTCTAAAACCAACGGAATTCTTATAACTAATAATCGGTAAAATAAATGATAACATAATGAATGGTATAATTCATGAAAAATAGTTTATATTTGTCATAATTAAAAAAAAAAATATGTGGAATAATTTATATGTATATGTAATATGTAATTTTTATTAAATGCAATGATAATAACACTTATTATTCATTAATCATCATAATCATTGTATTTATTTATTCTACTCTGTTGAACTATAATATTATTATAAATTATCAAATGAACTGTTAAATAATATGTATTTTCATTATAAATGAAACATTTCATATAAAATAAATTTTTTTGTAATAAAATGTTTATTAAAGATATTTTACCAAAAATATATTAAATAAATAAAATAATAATTAAGTTGCAAATATTCCAGCAATTATCTTTTTTTTCTTAGTAGATATTAATTTATTATTATTACTTTTAATTAATTTTAAGTTATTTCTTTTTAACTTTACGTTAAATATATTCAGCATTAATAACAATAATAATATACATGAAAATCAATATTATTATTATTATTATTATTTAATAATTTATTATGTAAAAATAATTGATTATTAATTTTATAGATACTAAGTACAATGAGATTGAATAATAATAATTTATTTGAAAATTAATCTTTACATATATTTTGTCCAAATGAAAAATCATTACTATCTCTGTTAAATAACTCAATAACTATAATGATAATGTCGATGATGTTACGTGCAAATCATTATACTATTTAAAATTTCTATATTAAAATGTAAATTAATTTATATAACTGTAATAAAATGCATTTTTTTTTTTTTATTAAAATTTCAATATCTCTTTTGTAGAATTGGAAACTTCAAAGCAATTATAGATCTAAAATTTAAAAATAATTCCTCTTAAAATAGGATAAATGAATATTAAGCCAAAATTGTATTTGCAAGTGCTGAATAAAAGGCGAACCATAAAGAGCTAAAGATTATAATGAAAGAAAAAATATTAAAAGAAGAAAACCAACGGAAATATCCAGAGTCGGGTAAGAGATAGATGGATAGACAGAAAGAGAGAGAGTGAGAGAGAGAGAGTGAGAGTGAGAGAGAAAGAGAGAAAGAGAGAATGAGAGCGAGTGTGAAAGGGGGCGGGGAGAAAATAGACGGAAAAGCCATTAGAAAGAGACCGAATATCACTAGAATCGTCCATTTGAATTTTTGGATTGCTCAATATCCCCAGGGATATTTCCTTCATCCGCAGTTACTATTTCGAGATTCATTCCTCGGTATTCGTTTTCTTCCCCCTCTCTTGCTCCCCCCCCCTTCTATCATTCTCTTCTCGATTTCTACTAACCCTTGTTTTTTCTCTTTCACTAACATTGAATTGCCTGCGTTATTGAATTACTACAAGGATATGATATTAATTAATAAGCAGTGTACTTCATCTTGGCTTTATGAGGGTGATTGTGTAATTGAACAATGGCATTGAAAAATAAATTTAATAATAAATTATAAACATTTCATTAAATTTATAATTATTTAAATGAAAAGTATTTCACAGACTTCTCTTTACTTAATAATCGGAAAATTCATCTTTTTAAAGCACAATTTGCTATGTTCAATCTTTTACACTAGAGTTTGTATTCATTTATATGTTAATAACATACAATTTTCTTAGAAATGGAATTAAAAAATACTTTTACACTTGATAGTGAATTGTTAGCAATAAAGGAACTCGTACTTGGATACTTTAATATTCGCAATATATCAATCTCCCTCTATAAATGCGTAGAAGAGAATATGGATAAACATATTGATAATATGTTGATAGATTACGAATAGTCAAGAGAAGTTTGAGTTTCGTTATTATTTTCTTCGAAGCTATAGAGAAGTTCACTCTGTTCATGGATGATGACTGATTAATTGATATGATAAATAAAAAGCTTTCATGTTTTCATTTATAATACAGTTCCTCATCATCTGTATATATTTTTACATGTACGCATATGTTTTGTTTATTTTATTTCCATTTGCTATTATAGAATATCATATTTAATGATTAAATGATAAAATTTGATTATTTTAATAATTCTAGATAAGAAATTTGTCAACATATGTGAATTTACTTAACGTTAAAACTTTTATTAATATTTCATAATACAAAAAGAAGGAGCATAAAGGATAAATGAAAATGAAGAAACTCGTGCTTTATAAATAAAAATATACATAAATAAAAATAAATGCATAATCAAAGCCCAACCATTGTGGTAAAATGTGTGCAATGCATAAAAATCTGTGCACTCTATAAAACTCTAAAATCTAATCTATGATTTTTATATTTAATATTGAATCCAATTTTTAAAAAGTCTATTAAATCAATAAATTATTTAACAAAATATTAAAATTCTTATTAAAAAGATATAAAAACATTATTGTTAATTCTTCATTATTGATATATTTCAATAATATGATTAAATAAATATTTGGAAAAATATGTTTGAATATCCAATTTAAAATTAATTTCATTCTGTTTTATTTTCTTCAAACTACTTATAAGAACACATGTGTATGTTCCGAAAACCACTTACCTGATTTATGTACTCAAAACAATGTAATATTTATCTTGTACTCTATGTCATTTTAATTATTTTTTTATTTATTTATTTTAACCTCGAAATACTAGAAATCACATGTTTCATTATACATTTTATT